TTTCTCACTTGCTCTTAATTTTTCTCTAGATTTTCCACTATTCTCTTGTCTTTCTCTTCAACTAACCATGAACAACTCAAGCTCTCTCTCTTTCTCTCTCTCTCTCTCTCTCTCAAGGATGGTCGACCACGGTGAAGAAAATGATAAAAACATGATCTTGGAAGAGTGTAGGGAATTCTTAGTTAGGTTTAAATAGATATTTTGATAAAGTTCATAATAAATCCCTTAGCTAAATCTAATTTGACACTTAGCTCTCTTGACCACTAAATATATTTCTTAAACTCCTCTAACATGTCATATGTATATCAATTTCTATTTATATATGTCTTTATGTATGCATGTATGTATAAACAATAAAGTTTTTCAAGACAAAAATATTATATTTTTTTATTTTTTAATAATTGAAGATGTATTTATTATCTATAAAATACTAAATTATAATTTTATCTTTTCCTTTTGTTGGAGAAAACTTTTTTTTCCAAATGTTCATTAATCACACATTTGTGTTTTTCTATAATTTTCACATCTAAACTTAACTCGAATTTAGTTATGGGTTGTATAGATAAAAAATAATATATTTTTTTATTTTCACGTCAAGTTTTTATATGGTTGAATAATTTGGGAGGAATTTTCACTGCAACAAAAATAAAAAATTATAATTAATATTTTAAGTGTAACATACACTTCATTAGTTAATAGAGAAATTGATAAAAACAATTGATTGATAGTTTTGAAAAAAATCAATATATTTAAATAAAAAATAAAGTCAATGTACTTTATTGAGAAAAAAAATAAGGTTATAATTTGATATTTGGAGTATAATGAATACATCATCGAGTTAATAGAAAAATTGATAGAAGTATTTGATTGATAATTTTTTTTAAAAAAATGATATGTTAAAATGAAAAAAACTAAAATTCATTCACTTGACTTAGAAAAAACTAAAAATTGTTGCCCTTATAGAATAATATCCTTTTTTTTCTTTTTTCTTTTTCTCACGGAATTACTTAATTGGCTCACTCCAAAAAAAAAAAAAAAATCGTGTATAAAAAAAAGGTGGAATCGATATACTCAATTGAGAGAAATTTAGAAGTTGGTGTGCAAAAGTGTAGTTTTCTAATAAAAAAAAATCCAGTGCATAATATGGGGTACCATCCCAGACCAATAAACAATGCTGTGTTTCAATCTCGATATTCTACAGTTCTCAGCTCTCAAAGATTGAATTACAGCTTGAAGAATACTTCAATTTAATGCTTCTTTCTGCAAATTTAAACCAGCAACCATGGAATTCGGCCATCCCAACGTTAATCCTCCTCAAAAAATGTAAGACCTTAAACGAGATAAACCAAATCCATGCAAGATTATTAACAACTGGGTTTATGAAAGACACATTTTTAACCACCAAAATCATACTCTCACTTTCCACTTCATTACACGCACCTCTCATTGAATTCGCTCGCTGCATTTTCTTTAGACATCACGCTTTTGAATTCAATGAGAAAGAAGAAGAGAAAGACCCTTTTCTTTGGAATGCTGTAATCAAAACATACTCTCATGGGCGTAATCCAAAAAAGGCTTTGTGGCTTTTTTCTTCAATGCTTGAGAATGGGGCTTTTGTGGATAAGTTCACGTTGTCTCTGGTTTTGAAAGCGTGCTCTCGAGTGGGTTTGGTTAAGGAAGGAATGCAGATTCATGGATTATTGAAGAAATTTGAATTTGGGTCTGATTTGTTTTTGCAGAATTGTTTGATTTCTCTGTATGTAAAATGTGGGTGTCTTGTATATGCCCGCCAAATGTTTGATAGAATGTCAAAGAGGGACTCAGTTTCGTATAATTCTTTAATTGATGGATATGTTAAAGGTGGGAGAATTGACTTGGCACGTGTGGTGTTTGATTGTATTCCAGTGGAGGAAAGGAACTTGATTTCTTGGAATTCGTTGATAAGTGGGTATGCGCAATCTGAAGATGGAATTTTGGTTGCTTGGCAGCTGTTTGTGAAAATGCCTGACAGGGATTTGATTTCGTGGAATTTGATGATTGATGGGTGTCTGAAATGTGGGAGGATGAAAGATGCTCAGGGTTTGTTTGATAGGATGCCAAACCGGGATATTGTTAGTTGGGCTAATATGATTGATGGGCATGCCAAGAAAGGTAGTGTTGATATTGCTAGGAATTTGTTTGATGAAATGCCTGAAAGAGATGTTGTTGCGTGTAATGCCATGATGGGTGGCTATGTACAAAATGGTTATTGTATGGAAGCTTTGAGTATCTTTTATGGTATGCAAAGTGAGGGCAATTTTTTTCCTGATAACGCTACACTGTTAATTGCTCTTTCTGCAATTGCTCAATTAGGACATATTGAGAAAGGGGTAGCAATACATTGCTATCTAGAGGAAAATGGGTTTTCTTTGGATGGGAGACTTGGCGTTGCCCTCATTGACATGTATTCCAAGTGTGGTAGTATAAAGACCGCCATGATGATATTTGAGGACATAAAAGAAAAAAGTGTTGATCATTGGAATGCCATTATCGGTGGGTTGGCCATTCATGGCTTGGGTGAATTGGCTTTTGATTTTCTAATGGACATGGAGAGGATGTGTGTTGAACCAGATGATATAACGTTCATCGGGTTGTTAAATGCTTGTGGGCATGCTGGCTTAGTGAAAGAAGGTATGATGTGTTTTGAGCTTATGAGAAGAGTTCACAAGGTGGAGCCAAAACTGCAACATTATGGATGCATGGTTGACATTCTTGGTCGGGCAGGGCACATAGAAGAAGCTAAACAATTAGTGGACGAAATGCCTATTGAGCCAAATGATGTGATTTGGAGGAGTTTGCTTAGTGCTTGTAGAACTCATGAAAGCTTTAATGTTGGACAGCTTGTAGCTGAGAATCTAATAAGGCTAGATTCTTCGAGCTCAAGTTCTTATGTTCTTGTTTCAAATACGTATGCTGGTCTTGGTAAATGGAATGATGTCCGTAAGGTTAGGGCAATGATGAAGGAAAAGAGCCTGAAGAAAATCCCTGGCTGCAGTTGGATTGAACTAGAGGGACTTGTTCATGAATTTTTTGTGCAGGATAAATCCCATCCTCAGGTTAGGGAAATCTATTCCACTTTGGATTGTCAACCAATGTCCAATTCAGAGCTTAGCTATTGTAAAAATTATGATTGAGTTGAAGCATCCACTCGAGCCATATTGTGGATGACAGGAGAATTGCTCATGAAGGTTCATACCTCCCTCCTATTTAAACTTCACTACGTCAGTGACTCTTCCCAAGTAAAATGTCAAAATGTAACTATTTGTTGTACACTATTTTGATCACCGGGCATGAATAATAAACTCCATGTTTATGTCCTTGTGCATACCCTGGACAAATTCTTCATGTTAGTTCCTTAAACTGCACTATCTATTTAAGGATCTTGGATTTATTCTAAATCATGTTTCATTATGGTCTGACTTCTGCAACTCTACTTTTCTGCTCCTTGAGATAAATTAGCTCCAAGTTTTCTGAGTTTAAGAAAATGAACGTCCGAGTTCAGGTTGTTTTTTAACATCCTTGGGCGGAAGCACCAGATGTAATCGCAGTTTACTTGGTTAATGAGCAAAGTATTTTGGGAGATCCATGGCTCTAATTAAACAACCAGAGTCTTGAAGTTGTTTCGACTCTTTTTGGCTCGAGTTCTCACAGGACAAAACCATGAAACCTCAAACCAGGCAATTGACTAATTAAGGATTCAAACCTTACCCTAAAGCATATTTGGTCGTTTTGGTCAAGTTTTAACTGTGCTTCAAGAGCCTAAACGTGGCGTATTGATGTGGTCCGTAACTTGGTGTATTGATGGGCGCAAGTTTTTGCACACACTTCGAAATCACAGCTATGGCCCTTAAAAAGCGAGGTGGAAAATTACCCACACTACTCTCTGGGGAAGTAAAACATGCAGGGGAAAATTCCAAAAGCTCCTCTTCTTGATTGGGCTAGTAACATGTTGCCATGAAAGAAAAGATTGATAAAATAAGCATCACCATGGACCATTTTTCAGGTGTTTGTTTTCGTTTTTGTAGTTTTTGTTGGGTGGAGGACTAGCCAGAGCCAGAACAGCCAAGACATTTACTATCATTTAAATGCTACTGCAACCAGTAGGGACAGGGTTAAATAACGGAAAAGACAAATATCAAGAGGACAATAAATATTCTCAGGCAGCCAGGTCAAAAGGCAATAAAGCCAAGCATTCTGTTTCTAAAACCCTTTTTTTTTTTTTTTTTTTAATGGTTTATACAGATCCAGCTAAAAGTAGACTGTACTCTCCAAGTCTATCACCCTTTGTTAAATGAGATCCTGAAAGTCTGTAGTATCATTACATGAATTCAATTCAAATACACCATTTTGGTTGAAGTTAAGATTGCTTGGTTTCCGCTTTCCAAGAACCATTTTCTCCATCTGCTGGTGGGCCATTTCTTATGCTGCAATACTTTCTGTCGAATCACATGTCGAGCTGTAAAGCGAAAATCGTTTGAGTGCTGCAATTTTAGCATTTTTGTGGAAAGCCAATAGTACCTTGCAAATAAGATCCCGGAGCGAGCGGCTATGCAATGTCCAGTTATTTTTTTGTCCCAGTTGAGTTTGGTTCCCGGAACAGAGGAACAGAACCCCAAGAATTTGAGGACCCGAAAAGGGAAAAAAAAAGCATGCAAGGGTTTCTCATACACTAAAACCCTGAGCAACATAAACCTGCAAAAACTTTGAATGCAACAAAAATAAAATCAGTCTTGCTTATTAAGAAAACAGATACTGACTTCTTACATGAATAAATACATTTCATACAACCCACTAAGATATTAAAAATCGGCTCAATGGCCACAGAATTACACAAGAACTTGAGTCCTCAAGAGAGGACAACGCAGTTAGACAGATATTAGTAACTACATAGGCTAGTGGTTAGTGACTGATCTAGAACTTCCCTCTTGTTGTTTGAAAATTGAGGCAAAGAGACCATAGTTTCAAATAAGTTGAGCAGCGACCATAGATTCACTTAGTTCTTGCATCACAGTTTCCATGGTTGGCCTGTGATGAGGAGATTCATTAGTGCAACGAAGAGCTATTCTTCCAAGCTTGGCTGCCTCTGATTCTGAGAAGTTTCCTTCAAGATTTGCATCAATAAAATCTTCAAACCTGCATAACTCAGCTGCATGACGAGTCAATTGGGTGATGTTACGTTTTCCACTGAGGATTTGAAGTGCAATCATGCCAAATGCATAAACATCACTCTTTTCTGTGAAACGGCCAGTGGTCGTGTACTCAGGAGCCAAATATCCCATGGCAGCACTGGCTTTGAGCATGGAGAAGACAATGTCATCTGCAAGGAGTTTGTGCAGGCCTGAATCTGAGAGCAAGGGGTTATACCGTCTGTCCAAGAACACTTTCTCAGCTGATATATTTTGATGAACTACAGCATGTTTATTTCCTTTACTTCCATGTAAGTATGCAATACCTGAATAGGAAAGAACCAAACTTCAGTATGGTATGTGCTCAATACCGCACAGGTATTTTGCACTTCATGCACATATCATTTGTAATGGCCACTACATCCATCATTAACTGGATCAAGATGATACTAAAATAACACATGTGCAACAACTTCAACAAACGCACTTGTCTCAGAAAGCTTTGTAATCTATCTCAATAGGTCGCAACCTCTATAATCTATGTCAATCATATGGTTAGTTCCACAAACCATTCCACTCAATCTTTGCCTCAGTTGCCTCCAAAGTCCAAACCCACCTAAAAACCCTAGTATACGATAACATACTTGGAAAGGCATTAGCAATGATCATTTGTAAAACTTCAGCAGCAGGAACAAGTCAAGCTAACATCAAGATAAATGAAGGATACTGGGCAAAAAGAAGGAAAGAAAAAAAATAAAAAACAATTACTGCAACTTCTGCAAGCAAGGAGATACACTGACCTTTAGCAATGCCATTTATGACAGAAATTCTGGTCGACCATTCAAGAACCTTCCTACTGCCATCCTTTACATCAAGATACTGCACCAGGTTTCCATTTGCGACAAAATCATAGATGAGGAAACACTCCCCTCTTCCCTTTGAGCAGCAAAAACCTCTCAATCTCACCAGATTTTCATGTTTCAACGAGGTCAATATCTTCAACCCCTTCAAAAAATCAGCTTCATCAGACTTGCAACTTGTTTTGGTGATGCACTTTATGGCAACAACTGACCCATCTCTCAGGATCCCTTTGTAGGTAGCTGAGAAATTACTCTTCCTCAACAAATTCACCTCTGAAAAGCACTGAGTTGCACGCTCAACCTCTTCTAAATTAAACACGAAGCTCTCAAGAACTTCTTGAGAAAACCCACTTTTGCTTCTACCAACGGCCAAGGGATCCCACCCATTGGAATATTCTAGGCTAATGAGCGGGGAGGCACTCTTCCTGTAAACCTCCTTGGCCTGGTCAGTGCTAAGCCGGCCATCCGAAGTATCAAAAGCACTTCCAATTTTCTGTTTACGGCGTCGGTACCATGAGAACATCAGAAGCCCAGTGACAGACATCGCAATGAAAACTCCAATCCCTCCGAATATGGTACCATACCTTGGGGTTTTGGACGTATTTGAACAGACGCTTTTGCTGCAATTAGCCGGGTTTGCAGACTCTGGGATGTCCTTTGCCAAAGCAACATTAGGTTTGGAAGGTTCAGGTTTAATAGGATCAGAAATCGCACATGTTTCAAGGTTAGAAAACCCAACTCCACACAAGTCAGGGTTGTTGCTATATTGAAATCCAGTGGTTAGCTTCTTCAAAGCTTCATTTTCAGCCACCAAAACAGAAAAAGAAACAGAAGAAAAAACAAGTAAAATCAGAAGTCAGTTCCACCTTCAATTTCCTTTGACATCAACAAACAAGTAATAGAAAGCACGCACTAGGATATGTTGTAGGCTATAGTTGGAGAAACCATGTTACCTGGAGGTACATTCCCAGAGAGACTATTGTTGCGAATGTCTAGAGTTTGCAGCAGAGGAGCTTTAGCTAATTTTACAGGTATTGGACCAAAGAGGCCATTAAAGCTCAAATCCAACCTTGACAACAACCCCAAATCCCCCAGACTCGCAGGAATTGCACCAGTTAGTTGATTATATTGCAGAGCAAGGACACTGAGCTTCTCCAGAGATCCCAATTGTGTTGGTACACTCCCAGTCAACTTATTGTAGCAAAGCTGCAAAACTATACACAGAGAGCCAAACTAATACTTAGTCGCTAAATATCCCCCATTTAGTAGCAGTAGCCTCCTTGAAATTCCACAAGTCAGCTTATAATAAGATGTGCTAAAGCAAAACAAACAACAGATCAAGAAACAAACTTTTAAGTTATCTACAAGCTAAAGCTGTGATGCAGTTGATAACGATTGTTGGAACAAGGATCCCAGGCTCCCCATGCATTGTTTCAAAACACTGATCCCACTATAAGCCAGAAGAATGAATCTTTAAAAAGGAAAGAAGCAATAACTCCTGACCATAAAAAAAATAATGGAGGACTCACACTCTATCTTTATTTTCAGCTATCAAAGTTATCATTTACAGGAAAGGGCACTTTTTTCTTTGCTCTCTCTTTGCTTTATGCTATCGATAAAAGAAGACACTGAAGTGTTGTTGAGTTGAAAAAATAAACAACCCAAAATCAGATATCAATACCAAATCTTTGTTCATTTTTAATCGGCTACAAAAATAAAGAGTGTAAGAACTAAAATAGAAAATTTTCAACAAAACTAAACAACCTAAGAACAGACATTCATTATACTACCCAAAAAAAAGCTTAACTCTTTAACTTACCTTGAAGATTAGACATGTTACCAATCTGGGGTGGAATCTCTCCGGACAAGTTATTAACATTAAGATACAAATCACTGAGTTCACTCAACTCGGCAATCTCTTTCGGTATCACTCCATTCAATGCATTAAAATGCAAGTACAAACCAGTCAAACTCTTTAGCCCACCTAAAGCTGCTGGAATTTGGCCTGAAAGACCCTTCCCTTGAAGGGAGATGTTAGCCACATGGCCTAGTTCATTGCATGCCACACCTTCAAAAGAACCACCACATGGGTCTTTTTTGGATTCCCATGAGGTCAAGAACCTGTGTTGTGGGTCTAAAGAAGCCTTGATTTGCATTAGGAGTTCAAGTTCTGTTGGTGAAGAGAGAGTTTGTGAGAACGAGAGGGAGAGGAGGAGAAGGTAGAGGAGAAGGCGCATGTTTGGTGTGTGAGAAAGTCAAGGAAAGTGAGGGAAAATGTGGGGAGTTTTGAAGTGAAAAGGATAAAGAGAGAAGTGAAGGGGTTAGAATCTTTGTAGCTAGTTTTAAGTGGCAAATGGTACAAGAAATCTTTTACACTTTTTAGTTGAAATCTTTTTGCAGGTGAGGGGAACTTGATTTTTGGGAATATATATTTTAGTATTTCTAGTTGCAAAAGTGTTTTACTTATGCCCCTGTACTTTAAAACTTTCCAATTAATATTATATGATTTTCAAATTTCTAATCTAGCGTTGTCCGTGGAATGCCTCGCAAGCAACGAACAAAATACTCCATCTATTTTTAGCTTTTATTTAACTTTTTGTCTTGTTTTTCTTCCAAAATCCTATATATTTATACTATTCCACAACAACGTGTACATTGTATTAAAGAGAAAGGAAGATGGAGAGGAGGAAAGAAAATTTAAAAATCAAAGCACAAGAGAGAAGAAATAAAAAACGTGGAGAAATTTTACAGCCTAAAAAGGGCATTTGTTTCTAAAAATAATCGTCGAGAAAATATTTTATTGTGTTTAATCATCTTTATAAAATTTGATAAATGTAAAAAGAATTTTAGTTATATATAAAATATGTTTAAAATTTTATAAAATGATTTATGTTTTTTAAAATATAAAATATCTTAGAACTCATCGCATACTTTTTCGATGCTAAAAATCACATTAAGAATATTAAAATAAACTCTTTTTAATTGATCATCCACATCTCTTAGTAAAAACAAAATTATAAATAAGTAAAACATGTTTTTTTTCTTTCACTTTTTTTCTTCACTACTAAGTTTTTGTTTATTGTAAGTTTGTAATTACCATATATATTTCATTCCTTAAAGTCATGAGTAATTAAGCACTTTTTAATAGTTTTGTTGGACTAGATTTTTTGTACTCACAAGCTCGTATATAACCAATTATGTTCTATATATATGTGTTTCTTTTTTATATATAAATATATGTGTTTTTTTTTTTACATATAAATATTCTTTGTTCATCAAATAAAACTTAAAGACTTTTTAAGAGTTTCAAGTTTCAATATATTCACTTCAAGTTTTGTTTTCAACTATCTTTTTTTTTCGTGAACACATATAGTTGAAAACAAGTTTTAGCTAACATGAAGAACTATAAAAAAAAATAACACCAAAAAAAAAACTTTATGAGTTATTGATTTTTTAATTAGTAAAACAGTCAAGAAAATTAGCTTATAATGAAAACACTATTCAATTTTAAATAGTGGTTTCTAATTAATAACTACATACATATATAATAGTCTAAAAAAAATTCACATATAATTTTATCATTCATTGTTTTATTTTTCTTTATTTTTTTTTATTTTCGTTTTCTTCAAACAAGTTGAGAGGAAATGACAAATCTCTCGATTTGTTTTTTTCATTATTTCTCTCACTCTCTTTTTTCCTTAACTTTCCTTGTTCCAGAGAGAGTGTTAAAAAAGACCAACAAAAAGAAATTCAAAATTAGCTTTGCAATTAGTTTTTGTTCGTTATTCAATAGACAAATACGCACCATGCAGCTTCTTAGAAACTCTAAGATCGATGTGTATAAAATTTAACTATGTGGACCGAAATGAAACATTGCTGAATCTACAGCTATTAAAATATAGTTTGCCCTTCACTTTCACAAGGTTTTTGCAAGGTATGCAATTTTTGAAAAGCGGTGGGCCCCACTATCATAAAAGAACGGATCACGTTGTGTTTCAGTACAATAGTGATGTTCTGGTGCATATTAACCGTTGGATGAAGGAGAAAAATGCTTCGGTACATTTAGGTTCAGCTTTTTCGTAGATTCAAAGCATCGTGATTCACTCACGTAGACCCATTTACACCACATGTGTCCATTATCGCCAATTCCATTGATTGCCCAACTTCAACTCGTCCAAAGGACACCAAAGACCAGAGAAATTTCAAAATTCCTGACAAAAGATAAGACATCCACCAGAAATTCTTAGATTCTCATAGCACTACAACTAGGGAAGAAATTATTTTCCAAAGTGTAATTGATCCATCTACAGACTGGAGATGAGGTTATAGACTTTTGTAGGCACTAGACAACGCTCATCAATTAGAAACCAATTTACTCAACCAGTTGCGCAAAAAAAAAAAAAAAAGGATTGCAGTTTACACAGCTCACCAAATATTTATTTTTCAAGTTTGATGTGTGAAATAACTAAACATAACGTTTGCAAGCAGAATGAGATTTAAAGTCTAATCATTTTGCCAATGAAATAATTTTTTATTTTAATAATTAAGATATTTTTGGATCGATTTTTGAACATTAAAATTGTTTTTTTCTTTCAATAAAATATTAGATAAATCATTAAATTCCACATTTATATGATTTTTAAGAAACTTGTTCCACTTACCTTCATTTATCATGGAAATCAAACCTGAAAGATAATGACTAGTAATACAATGCAGATTTGGTTACAAATTGATTATTTTATTCTCATACATTGATAAATTACAGGGGTGATTGGACTAAATTCTAAGCATACACGTTTACGATTTTTAATTTGAACCGTCCATGTAAGCATTGTTTACATGTCAAAGAAGGTCCTCATTGTATCTTACATTGCAAATAAAACATGATAATAATTAGATTGGAAAAACGCTGAAGAAGAACAGAATTGTTGTTAGGATATTGTCATTTTCAAAACGAATATGATGCCAACCTTTTGAAAAAAAAAAAAGATTTTCATGTTTGCTTTCCTTTCCCTACCCGAACTTTAATGGGAAAGGACAGAGAGGGAAAAGGCCCATATAGGTGGCCCATGACCAGGATCACAAGAGCGGGATCCACTACAGACACCCCTATCACAATCAGACCGAAGTTGAAGCAGTTAAAAGTTGGCAGTAGGGTGATTGAATATTCAGTGTTTCTGGAGCGCTCTAATCATAGGATTTGGCATTAGTTTTTCAACATCCATGCCATGAATTTAAAATTCAAAGAATTTTAATGCACTTGTTAAAGACTGGTAGGGATTGGTTGACAACGGAGGAGCTAGAACCGGTTCATTGAGCACTTGGGCAGAAGGGATGAAGGAACAGTTAAAAGCTTATGAAAGTGGTAGTGATTTTGATGTCGTCTATCCTTCTCTCACTTGGGCTGGGCTTTTTAGAAGGCTATTTGTTGTGGTTGAGATGGAGCCCACGCGGTCCTCGTAAGGACATGGTCCTTTAAGAAGTGAATGAATTCAACCACGACACGACCGTAAGAGCACGGTCCAATCAAAATTCTTTTTTTTTTAACAAGATTGTATAAAAGATAATATGTGTGTATATCTGAAAAAAAAAATCCATGAATTAATTAACAATACTAAGTGATAGAAAAATATGGTTAAAAAAATTAATTAGAAAACAAAGATTTTATGAACTAAAAAATCAACAAAACCGAAAATATTTATAAAGATACATATTTCAATTTCAAACTCAAAAAGTTTGAAAATTGAAACTGAGTCACTGGAGATCAAGTCCCAGTAATTTAAGTATCCAATTGAAACTAAATGTATTTTTTGAAGAAAAAAACTAGCCAAATAAATATTTTTTTAACCTTTTATAAACAAATAGAAAAAAATTAAAAACTGAAAACAAAAATAAAAAGAGAAACAGAAAATAAAAAAAAAACATATACTAAACGCTACTTATCCTCCTGCCTAATGTAGCAATAAATGTCAAATGTCATTCACGATTGCTGCTAGCATTTTGCCAAAATATTTGAGGATTCAGTGTCCGCATGTAGAAATTCAAATTAGTGGGAAGATTTTATGGTGCTTGAAAAGAGGCAGCACAAATAATTGTTCAAAATTATAATTGGTCTGTGCTAATTGAGAAGGTTTTTGATCTCACGAATTTAGGTTCCCTGTCATGTGATGTTACATGGCTGGACGTCCTTGATTATGGACTCCATTAAGAGCAGGAGCAGCATGTGAACTTGGCATTCATGTGTTTTTGTCTGAAGAACAAAAGGGCCCAATCTCTTTTTATCAAGGCAAGTGAAATTGAAACCATTTTCAGACAACTGCGAAACGGGACTTATTGTGTACCTGATCACTAGCTGTCTAAGATCATGCCCTGCTAGAAATCAACGTGAATGATTGCATGATGTTTACAGCAAATTAATGAAATTCCATAGCATCCAAGGGTCCCACATTATGAAGAGAATGCCCACGTATTTACCTAATAAAATTGCTTGTTATATCTGAAAATACAGGGTAAATGGCATATGTTGACTCCCCTAGCATGGCCTCGGAGATTTGAAATTCTTTCATTTTCTTTTATATCATATTAAAACAAACATGATTTTACTGCATAATAAAAATAAAAATAACTTAATTCGTTAATGAAGTATTAATATTATAATTAATTTTTTATCTAATTTATGTCATTGAATTGAAAGCTAATGATTAAATTTAAAACATAATATTTATGGCTTTAGAAATTAGAAATAATTTAGAGGTTTAATATTTATGATTAAACATCGAAAAATATTGACTCGTTGACGACAAGGGACTGTAAGAGTAATTTTGGACATGCATCACCTTTTTTGAAAAAAAAAAAAAAAAAACTACCATCACTGGTTTATTCCTTGGAGATTAGACATAACTAGCAATGATAATTGAGAGGATTCCATATAGAAAAAATTCCTTACCTACCAAATGAAACAATTGGGATTGACAGCCATGATTGGATTTGTGACTCGAGTGGGTTAAAATCATGACAGTTCTTGCTTCTACTTTTCAATTCCTACAATTCAAAGTCCTGGCACAAAAATGATCACAAGGGTATCTCCTTTCAACCTTTTGTCTGGAGAAACTGAACTATATTATTTCCACAGCCTAGCTGGATTGCTCATTTGGTCTTATTGGAAACCATTTCTCATATCCCTATCTTTTCAGCTTTACAAAGTACAGCTTCCTTTATTTTTCGGTATCGCAACCCTCATAAAGGAGAAAAGGCACACTTGATGTCTAATAGCTCATCACGGAGTTACAGTGGTTAGGGTTTTGATTCTATGCCACAAAAAAAACGCATGTGAGACAAAATGGTCTTTGAATTTTATGATACTTTGGAATGATAAGCCAAATTTCCCAGGTTGAGTCACACAATGTTTCACGTGACCGATTTTTCACCTTCCTTTTTGCACCTCCAGGGGACCACAATATTGCTATGTACTGTATAGGCGTGAAAACACAGGAAACAACTTTATTATTATTATTATTATTACTACTATTAAAAATATTATTGAAATGTTGCATTACACAATGTAGAGTGAGATTTCTCCTTCCTTCCGCTGGTTCTTTCGTCTAATGGAAGACCCTCGCCTCGCTTCCTATTCATTTGTGGGTCGGGGATTCGAGAGTTTTTTTTTTTTCAACAGTTGATTTCAATTGACAAATCTATTTTAGGTAACTAACATTCTCATCAAAGAAACTTCCTTGCGATTTTATTTTGATATAATAATTAATGAGTTACCCTCGGATCTTCATTATACTTATAAGTGAACTAAACTGAGAATTGATTGAAAATTGATTTCAAAATCTGCGTGTAAATTAATTACTGTTATGTGCTATTGGTTTTTCTCACTTCAAAAGCTAGTTTGATTTTTTTTTTTTTTGACAATTATAATTATGAACCCATTGCCTTTTACAACCATGTGAGATAACCTAATAATTTCTCATCCATTCACACATTAAATTTTAAATTAGTTATTTTTTATCAATTTATATAGGGCGAGCACATGAAAAATAGTTTAATATGGATTTTGTTATAAGTATTCGTTGTTATTAACTCTTTTTAATTCTAAAAATTAGCTTAAAAAATAAAGGTTTTTTCTTATCCTTATAACAATCAAACATTCAATTCTTTCTACAACTGATATCGAATAATTTAACAATTTCACATGATTATGCTTAATTCTAAATGGTCGTAATTCACTTTCGAGTCTATGTGAAACAATGTGAACTAACTTGCTAACATATGCAAAGAGGTATTTTATATGATATTCCGTTTAATAGCTCTACAATTAATTTCTCCTTCTCCTCGTTTGATTCAGCCATTAGCATTGGCGCTTCACCGAGAGGGATTTCGTTTTAAAGGCCATTTAGAAGAAAAGGCAAGGCATTATAAAAGTGCGGAAAGGACCTGAGTTTTCTTCAGCTATTATTGCACTTGCCCAAGCTCTTTGTAGAGAACTAAAAAATGGAACTCCTCCAAAACGAAAAACATATCAAATTTTCAATCCGCATGAAAGTGCTAGAGATCGAAATTAATATCTTATTGCCACACTTTTATTTATTGTTTAGGAAAAAAGGAAAAAGGAAAACTTGAAGCAATAGGATTGATATTAGGCCTTTTGATTCTTTTGATCAAAAGTTACAATTTTAACATAGCACTAAACATAAAAGATAAAGGCCCCGGCATTAATGGCTCCTCGATTTGGTTCTCCAAGAATCACCCACCATCTGTCTGGACCGTGGTTCTGTATATGCTGATGGAATGGGCCTAATAAAACAGACCTTACCTGATAAATCGTCTTATTAAAGTATTAATACTTTCTTTTTTAAGTCGGGGTAGTTAGTCCTGGATCTGTGAGTTGGATTTTGATTTGAATGGGATTCGATTTTAATATAATTAAGTAAATTTTTATATAATTTTTGTGATTCGATTTTTATTACGATTTAAATCCATTAATTATTTATTAAACATATTAAATACAAATCTATTTTAATCATGTTTGATAATAATTCGATTTAAAATTAATATTACTATAATTTCTAATAGGTATAATAATTTAAAAAATTGAAAAAAATTAAATATAAAAATATGACACTAAATTTAGATTCAGGGTTTATTTAATCTGGATGCTAAAAAAATTTGATACTTTTGTTTATTTTTTTCTTTATTCCGATGGATGCACTTTTAAATAATTACATGATAATTTTGTTTTTTCATCATTTTTCAAGTCTCAAGTTATTTTTTTAAGACTGTTTAAACATAGAAAAAATAAATTAATTAACGAGTTATTTCTATTATCATATCTGTTTTTTTAATTTATAAAATCATGATAATTTTGTTTTTTCATCATTTTTCAAGTCTCAAATTATTTTTTAACACTATTTAAACATATAAAAAATAAATTAATTAATGAGTTATTTCTATTATTATACTTTTGTTCATTTTAAACTTATTATTTGTAAAACACTTAGATTTTCTTTCATGCCAATCAAGGTATGTCTAGAATTGGTAATTTTTTTTTCAGCTTTGTCACACTTTTTCTCTAATTTAAATTAATTTAACATCTAATATAATTTTTTACCAATATTATTTTATTTTGTTCTTTTAATGGTAAGACATTTGGATTTTAATTTTAAAATTGACATATTAAACATTATTATTTTCCTTACATATATAATAATTGAAGCTCATTTTACATTAAATCTCGATTTTGGACATAACCAATACTTTTTTTTGAAAAAAGTTAAACGATAAATCCGAAGGATATTTAAATTCGATATGAATCTATTACGAATCAGATTAACGATTACAAAATTCAAATTTAAATTTATAATATGTAATTTGATTTGTTTATTAAACAAATTGAATCCCAATCTACTATTATCTGATTTAAATCCAATCAGTTGACAATTTTAATTAATCAAACCCCATACACCTTACTCTAAAATAAAAAGCTAATGTATTATTAAAAATAATTAATAGGAAAATCTCCACATTGTATTGAGAAATGAATTTTTATGTGGCGGTAATTTTCTGTTGGAAGTCAATGGCAAAATTATTATACGTTTTTTTCCTATTTTATCCATTTTTACTTTATTTCAGTGTTTGTAATTTCAAAAGTTGTTCAATGAAATACGCATGCTTAAAAATTTGATGATGTGTTGCTTTTTAAACTCTAAGGGACCACAACATTATATTGCAGAGCAACAGAGGCGCACGAAGCACTGAAAAAAAGTTGCTTTTTTTTTTTTTTAAGAAAAAGAAAAGATAAAGTTAAATGCTGCCTGCTTGCCTGCCTCAAGGATCATATAATCTAACATAAGATAAATATTGGATGTTAGGTTTTTCAGAACCCTATATTTTTAATATCAAAAGAAAAAAAAGACCCCACATTTCCCTCCTTGTTTGTCTTTGTTAAGTACATTAGTGCGCGAACCACGTGCGAGAAAAAGTGTACAATTTAAAGTGTTAAAAGGACCCGACTTTCTCCAGCAATTATTTGCATTTTCAGTCACTTTAAAAAAAAAAAAAAATTTAACTTTCTTATAAACACAAAATATTTGAAAATTTTTATTTACTGTTATGAGTTAGTTTTTATGGAGACCAAACAATAAAGTTCAAGATAAATATTAATCGTGTTCGAAATAAAAACAATAAATTTTTTTTATTTTTTAAATAAATATAATTTTAAAATTTGAATTATTCACATTGACGAAAATTTTATTTGAAGACCAACTTACTTACCATTGGACTAACAATCAGTTAATTAAATTTTTTTTTTTATAGATAAAAGAAGATAAATGTTGTTGTTGTTTTTTACTAGAATAAAAAATGAATGAAATTCAACAGTACGAGATCATTGGGCTGATTTTCTTAATACATCAAATACTACCGATATGGCTAGAAATATTATGGGCTCAAAGCATTATGTAGATCGGCCCATTTGATTCCATCAAATTATGGGCTCAAAAATTGACAGATAGACTGCATTCTAGGTAACTGTACAGGATAGCTGACTTAAATATTAATCGATGATAGTCAATCTATCCGCCCATATATCTCAATGGTCAATTGGACCCAACTTACCGGCCCGTCTTAAAATTTCCAACCTCACAATTTCAATGGGGAACGAAGCAAGACTGGATTCTTATGCCATCGATTCATACCTGCTTCCAACCTTGAACTCGACCACTTAAATTTATTTTTTATTTTATAAAAAATTGCACATAAAAATGACAACCTTACCTAGTTTAAAATTATAAGGAGTTAAATCCGAGCGAATTATATAATATATATTTAAAACCAAATTCTATCCGAAATAGCTATAAGTTTTTGGGAGGAAAAAACGCAATCGGATTCATGACCATTCCCGTGATTGATTTGGCAGCATTAACTTGCCAATCAATCTCCAATCGAAAAAAGAAAAGTAAAGAAAAAGCCTTGCAATTTTTGTCAATTCTAGAGCACACGCACCATGTAAGATTATTGTAATTTCGGTCTACCTGAGGCCCAACCCAAACAAACAATGGGCTGGACAGTTCCATTAGGTCCAAAAAACAAAAATGAAAAACTCCCAAGGACTAGAAAGCAAATAAACAAAACAATAAAAGCCGTACCCACGCCCTCTCTTTCATCTTTCGCTAGGGTTTCACAGAGCCACCAAGGAGCTGCGCTACTTGACTGTAACAGAAGCAGCAAATCTCCACAGTTCGTCGCTATGGGTCGTATGCACAGTAAAGGGTTTGTTTCTGTAACTTGACTGATTCCCTAAAACAATCGCGTGATTTTCACTTGGAAACTGAACTCAATAGCCCATTTGATTTCTTTGTTTTTACAGTAAGGGTATCTCAGCATCTGCTTTGCCATACAAGAGGACACCACCTAGTTGGCTCAAGATTTCTGCTCAAGATGTGAGTAACGCGTTATAACCCTACAAGTTTTGCTTGTATTTTGATTTGTTTTTAATATTTAGGTTATCTTGCATGATATTTTAGTTCTATATTGGATTGCTGAATTTCTTGCATATATTTAATGGACGAGATTTCGTTGCTTTTTGGGATTTTTTTTTGTCTTTTTCTTATTAATATTGAATTTTTGCACTTGCAATCCCATTTTTTTCACAAGATCATCTGTTTCATCTTGTTAATGAAAATAGAATCTCATTGCGGGGATATCAGTTCAAGTGTTGTGACAATAGTATTGCATCAAATGGGAAGCTTTTGTTGAAGTTTATGTGGAATTAAGAGTGCCGGGAGCATTTCCCTTTAGCCATCTATCACAACGAATGGATGGATTTAGTTATTATTTGGACAAGTCTTGTGCCCATTTTTTCAATTTGTTTTGTTATTCTCTTTCAGGTTGAGGACAACATCTGCAAGTTTGCAAAGAAGGGTTTGACACCATCTCAAATTGGTGTTATCCTTCGTGATTCTCATGGTATTGCTCAGGTGAAGGCTGTTACTGGAAACCAGATTTTGAGGATATTGAAGGCTCATGGTACATATGTTACTCATGCTCTTTCTACCGTAGCAATACACCAACGTTTGATGAGAAGTGTTGAACATATTTTTTGCATCTAATTGTAATTATTATGCTTCTGTTAGGGCTTGCTCCTGAAATTCCTGAGGATCTGTACCACCTCATTAAGAAAGCAGTTGCTATTAGGAAGCATCTAGAGAGGAACAGGAAGGATAAAGATTCCAAATTTAGGTTGATTTTGGTTGAGAGCAGGATCCACCGCCTTGCTCGCTATTATAAGAAGACCAAGAAGCTTCCACCAGTCTGGAAATAGTGAGTATATCTATTTCTTTTACATTTATAATTTAAAGGTGCTTTCTATTGGGACCATTTATCATTCATTAGCGTGGATTCGTGTGGTTTAATAATTTGGCCTAACATAAGGATATAGGTGGATATGTCTATTACTTATGGGATGGCGTTTGGTTATAGCATGGCCTGTATTCAATTCAAGGAATCTGTTTTTATTTTTTCTTTTTCTTTTTTCTTTTATGTTCCATTTTGGAGTGATGTTACCCTCTTCTATACTGGCTTGAGTTTGTATGCAACCATTTGGGGAATTGCACATTATATCCTCAATATTGAAATTCAGTAGCTTTTTTATTGGTCAGGTTATTTGATTATGGATTTTACTTCATGCATGGTAAAAACGGCTGGAAGGCTGCATTTTCATAAGATCAGTAATCATTTTTTCTTCTAGAACGAGATACTGTAAACTTGCTAAAATTACCTAGTTATAAAGCAGTTGTATGTTTGAAGGCTTGATAAAGAATTGATGTAGTTGTTTTTCCCTGACAAACGCCCTTTAACCCTACTTATAGTTTATATCCTTCAGTTTAATTTTTGTTGCTTTATTATCTTTGGCCGTAGTGCTAATTGATTTCTTCTTTCTCCTGCAGTGAATCCACCACCGCCAGCACTCTTGTGGCCTAGGCAACATATATTTGGTTTTAGTTGTCAGCACTTTGTGGAACTTAATCTGGGATGAGCTGATATCAGCTTTTTGATGTTTGTCATTCTCATTTTTGTAGAACTTTATTCATGAAATTGTGAGATGCTTTGACGGTATGAATGTTATCTTTTATGTTTCTCAATTTCAGCTTTTGTGTTGATGTCTTTGATGCTTCTAGAAATATCGGTATTCTAAATTTGAATAGATGCAGAATTTAATTGTTGTCAAAAGTATGAGATGCTCTACCCAATCAATATGTATATGGTAGAATCAAATTGATTACTGCTTCAACTATTGATTGGATCTCTTTTTTCTTAACTAGTTAAGAGGAGTAATGGAAAGAAACTCTGGTACTTGTTGACGCGGATTGAATTTTAGGTTTTGATTTGTCAATCGTGCCTTCAAACTTGCTGTGAACTACATATGCATTTTCAGGTTGTTGAATGAAAAACGAACCTGTCAGATCCTGCAAGTACTTAAGGCAGCTTAGCAGGAGCCTGCAAGTCTTAGTGAATTGATATACAGCGGGTGGTATGTCGAAGATTTAGATAACGAATAAATAGAAAATAACGGATTGAAGGAAAGACCTTGTAGCTATAGGAGAGACTTTTAATAATTTGTAATTAACGCACTTTGCATTCGACGAAAGATAGACATCAAGAAAGCTCAGTGTCTTAGACTAAATGGGAAATAAGAATTATAAATAAATGTTACTTTCTAATAATATTAATAACAAAATATAAGAATCCACATATATAATAATAAAATTTTATACTTACAAAATTACAAATAAACATGTAAATTCTCTTGTTTTTATACTGCATCATAGAGCTGATGTTCTTTGATGTTTGCCTTTCTCATTTTTGTAGAACTTTATTCGTGAATATTGTGTTTTTTATGTTTGTCATTCTCATTTTTATTGAACTTTATTCGTGGTGAGATGCTTTGACAGTCAGAATTTTGTTCTTTATGTTTCTTAATTTTAGCTTTTGGTTTGATGTTTTTGATGTTGCAAGTAATGTCGGTATTCTAATTTTGAATGCATGCTGGATTTAATTGTTGTTAACATAGATAGATTCTGAAACCTCGTAAATGTGGATCGAATTTTAGGTTTGGATTTGTGGATAATGCCTTGAAACTTGATGCTGTGAACTACACGTTCATTTTCAGATCATCGAATTGAAAACTAACCTTTGTTAGTTCCTGCAAACACTTTAGGCAGATTACTAGTTTTAGTGAAATATCAGTATTCATACCGAAAGTAGTTCTGCTTGTTGGAATTGAGCAACCCTTTAATCTTAACCAAGACGATTATTTGAGTTGGCCAACAAAGCTAGCCTATTTTGGTATCTGCACCTAGTCCTGTGGTTGTAAACTGATTGCCCATTGATTAATGAATTGAAAACGGAGTCATTGTTTCGTGACTGAACAATTGTAAGACAAGATTCGCACCAATTCATTGGTTACTCCCCTTTTTTGTCATGGAAATGTTAAAAGTGAAATGGTTTAAATAAAAATAAATAAATTTTATTTCAAGTCATGCTAGATATGTCGATTGCAGGTAAATTTATTACCAACGCTCATACATTGATTGTTGATTTTCCTAAAAGAGTTTTGATCAACCCTTCATGACTAGCAATGACTCAAAAACCCCATAATACCCTCCCCAGATATTCTTCCCTTTGTTTCTCTCCTCGTCGATCTTACCCGCCCTCCCTTCTCCATTCAACGTCTGTCACAACAGTGGCAACGACAGCGATTTCAGTAAACTAACAGACACCACAATGTGCGAAAGGTTTAGTAAATGAGAATACATTAATGGATAATGTGCCAGTATTGTTACCCTTTTTATATCCATTATATATATATATATATATATATATATATATAAACCGGGAAAAAAAAAGAAGAGAAAGCAGAGCACCACCGTCCACCGTGAGCAGCGCCACCACCGAACCATCTCCACTCCTCCAACTCTGAACCAACCATCGTAGAATTATCACCGTTGTGAAACCCCAGTAAGCAACCACCAACCAAACCAGAAAGTTTCTAGATTTGTAAATAGTCTTAGCTATTCAATGTCGTTATGTTTACTGATAAAGTAAGACCGAAAGTGGGTATGTTTGTGATCTCTAGAGAGGTTTTCTTAATTAGAGAATAGGTTTCCTCTGCTTTCAATACTCAACACCAGTCAGTTGTCATTAATGTGCCTTTTTTGTGCTTTTCATATAATACCAGGCAAGTAGGCTTATTCTATCCAATTTTGCTTTATTTTTTTGCTCTGTATTGCATCCCAATACTGTAATATTTCAGACTAGATTCAGGGTTCTTCAAAAAAGTTGGTCCAACCTTCTTTCTTCTTCTTCTTCAACTGATTCATGTCTCGATCTGGCTGCCTAGCTTCTTGTGTTCTAGTGTACCTTTTAGCATGTTAACAACAGAAGAAACTTTATCTATGCTGCTAATTTGTGGCTGGTAAAAGTAGATGAGGATGAATTAGATGAAGAATTGAACGTGCCCAACTCATTGGCAGTGTGATGAATAGGAAGGTCACTGAAACCATTTGGATTTCCAAACTCTTTTTTCAATTGTTGACACCATTCCCAGAAACATTCTGCATGGCTGCCATACCTATATTTGAATCTGAACCTTTACTGGCCAGCATCTTCATGACTAAAAGGAAAATTGCCCATGGTAACAAGTTGCGGGCCATATACGTGGATTCTACTCCGAGTGCATGTACTGCCGACAAGGATACCCTTTTGTAGCTTCAATCTGAAAGAATGCCAGTGATGGGAGAAGGGAGCGAATGCTTTAGTTGCTGTATGGGAGTATGTTTTGTTTGTGCTTGTTACAATTGTTTCTATGCTTTAGTTGCTATATGAATGCATATTCAGTTCAAAATTTAGTACAACGGTGGACAAGCATGGACGATAACTGATTCTTTGTTCTGTTTTTTTGCAATTATGTTTGATTTCAGAGGGAATGAAGCTTTACATTTCAGACAATAGGGTGATTTTGACTGAGGGTTTTGATGGCATCATACCGGTCAAGTATTTTGAAAGAATGGAATCATGGCCAGATAGACGACCTATACCCATCCAGGACTAAATTTGATTGTAAGTGGTCCTGGTGCTGCGCCGCCCCCTGCCCTTCTTTTTGATCCACGACATGGTTATTTACATTGATAAGGTGTAGTTCTTCAGGTGTCGTAACATGCAAAATCGGCACATATACAGTTCGACGCCAATGTAAGTTGATATTTTAAATCAATGAAAAGGAAGGTCATCCAAAAATCAAGTCATAGCTATCATCTGGATTCTATGTATATATTTGTTTGTCAATGGCATGAGGATGCGACAAAATTTTGAAAACAAAAATAGGAATTGAAAACCCGTAAAATGATATCAAATAAGGCTTTAAATTTACATGCAATATAAGTCCAAGAGGCATAAAAAAATTCAATTTTCAACCAAATTGAATCGAAACCAAGCTACTTGCTCTTTTGAGATTTTGATAAATCGGAATTCTTCCAGCCCCAATCCAACCTCTTAGTACTTAGGCCATCAAATTCAAATGCGGGTGGCCAGATGGAATTACCTGACATTGAAGAGCACGCAAAATAAGATCCAATGAACTGCTCGTAGTTTATATATTGCTAATAATTATCACCACCTTCCTTGCTGGGATTGCAAATCACACTCACAAACTGACACACACCGTCGTTTGTAGTTAAAACCCAACGCCCTCCGAATGCAAAATTGGCTCAAATCAAACGAGCAATTTCCAATTTCTTCTCTCTGGACTACGCCTCACAGAATAACAAACAAATTATACCTTTACCAGATCTCACCGAAGATTCAACACTCTTATTATTATTATTTTTTTCTGATAAAAATAAAAGTAATTGGTAGAAAAGATTGGTTAGTGATAAGACCATCATGGAATGGATGGCGGCGCACTTCGGTGTTTTTCTTAATTCTGCTCTTCATCCTTCTTAATCTTTTCTGTGGTGATTATCCTCTTTTCACTCTCAATCGATTCCTTGTCTTTTTATACGAAACACTGAAAAAATAACCAAATACAAAATGTTTGATACTGGCATTTGTTTTCCTTTTCAGTTCTAGAATTGCATCGGAACCCAGTTGTAGGAGGCCCGCCGAAGAAAAAGAATACGAAATTCGATCATTTAGTTCTTGGGTCTGCTGCCGGTCAAGGCTTGCCTAATCGCTTGCAATGCCAAGGTTCTTACAATTTAATTTTCTCTGATATGCCCTTTTTTTTCCTTTAATTTTGTTGATATGATTTGTAATTTATTTTTTTCCATATGGTGGAGCAGGCACGAAAGCGCTGAACAAAACCCATTTGCCGAGCTCTTCCAATGCTGGAGAAAGCGTTGCCTTTGTCACTGTTTTTACTGTTTATAACACTTCATTAGCTGCTGACTCTAGATTATCAAATTTGTTCACTGTTGGGAATGCTTCCTACACTAAAACGGAGAGGTCAATGGCTGTTTTGAATGTCTTCATTAACTTCATCCAGGTGTTTTTCTCGGTTTATCATCTTACTGGCATCTAGACGTGAAATAGCCTAGAGAATCTAGTATAATTGCTTGCAACCCAAAATTTTTAATTCTGCTGTGGTATTATTTTAATTCAGTTTCGGTTAGCTTTTACTTCACTTGCCATTTTGTATAACTGCTTTAGAATTTTGGTTTAATATGTATTGGTTACATCTTTCTAGTAGGCAATTACAGTCATCTGGTTTACACTTGTTTTTAGTTGGAGAGTTGGTTCAAATTCTTGTTCCACACGTATGCTTTCAGGTGACAATGCCTAGGAGCAATATTGTCATTCTGACTGATCCAGCTTCTGATCTTTCACTGGATAGAAACAGTGTCACTGTGTATCCCATTCAGGGTGATTATTCGCAAGAAAAGTTGATGCTTCAAGGGATCAGATCTTACATTGTAAGAGCACATCACATTGACATATAGGTAGAAGATTTCTTTTTTTGATTATTTGTTCTATTTCTTAAGGCATATTTCATGTTTTCTCTATGTATCCAATGAGTTTCATTAATTAAAGTGTTTATTTTCTTTTTCAGTTCTCTCTCTCTCTCTCTCTCTCTCTCTCTCTCTCTCTCTGAGTTGCTGTCTTGCACGATGAAGTAGGATTAAGGAGCTGTGTATTTTTTGGTTTATGATGAAAATGATGTATTATTTTTGTGCTGTCTGTAGACTTTTCTGGAAAGAAAGCTTGACGAACTTGCTCGGAACCCAGGGCATATAAGTCACTACATCTTCACTGACTCAGATATAGCTGTGGTCGATGACCTTGGCCTCATGTTTAACAATCACCAAAACTTTCACCTGGTTCTTACCTTCCGGAACAACAAGGAGCAACCTTTAAATTCAGGATTTATAGCAGTGAGGGGGACTGCTGATGCTATTTTGAGGTATGTGGTTTGTACTTTTTTCGCTATTCCTTCTGTTTCCTTTAGACTGTGATTAAGATAAGCAAATTTCCTGTCGTTTAGAGGCCAATGTTCTTGCCAATGCTGGGGGAGGGTTTGAAGTTTTTTTTCCTCTGCTGTTCAGAATTTAAAAGGAATAATAGAGGTTTTTTTAGTGTCCTATGTTCCATGCTTTTCCTTACAGTTTCTTGGCAACCATAAAATAGAAAACTGATTGGATGTGATTCTTGTTACTGTAAAACAATTGCAATACAGGGCGAAGATTTTCCTTCAAGAAGTACTAAAAGTTTACAGTTCCAAGTTTATGAATGCTTCTCGAATGCTTGGAGATCAGTTAGCTCTTGCCTGGGTTGTAAAATCTCACCCTGGATTTGATTTAAGGAGATTTACCAAAGCACAGGCTTTTCTAGAAAATATCGGTGGCACTTCAGTGCTATTTTTACCATGTGCCACATATAATTGGACACCTCCTGAGGGGGCAGGCCAATTCCATGGCATGTCTTTGGACGTCAAGTTAATTTCATAATCATGATCAGCTTAATTACTGACTGAGCTTTAAATCCCTTTCATTTGGTCCAACAAAAAAAGAAAAAGAAAGAAAAGAAAAAAGGAAGTACTTAGTTAATTGAAGATTGAAGTTTTGGTTTGTCACTTGCTTGGCTTCCTCCATACAGGTTGTTCATTTCAAGGGATCAAGGAAACGCCTAATGCTGGAGTCTTGGAATTTTCTCAGTTCCTCTTCTGACATTTTTGATTTGTCATGCCTTATTTTATTGAGTGGGAGAACAAAGTACGATTTTGGAGTAGCATCAGTGATTTAAGTTCAGCATTGATCATGTTACTGGAGGGAACATCTGATTTCATTCAAAGAACTGAAGATGAATGCTCTGTTGCATCATGTCGGGATATTAGTTGGCTTGCTTTGTGGGTACCTAAGATCTCTGCAAATGAAAGCTTGAATCCTAGTGGTACAAGTTCACAATGTTGGCTGCAAATGCCACTGGCAGCATGGAAACTGGGATTGCAAAGTTGCTGCGGTTTTGATTTTTCTCCTTTTCACTTAACAGAGGGCTACTTGGCTACCATATAGTCTGTTACTGCAGTATGCCATTCCTATCTAGTTTTTGTTTCCTAAAATCCCATACAACCATGATGACAAAGCTTCAAGAAAAAGTTACACGACAAATGTTGCATTAAGCACAGAGATATAACTTCTTCTTTTTTCTTCTTGTCTTATACAATATATTTTTGGATTACAAATATTGCAGCATGCACGCTACTTCACTAGCTGCCCACATTTCATGCTTAGATAAATAGGTTTTCTGTTGATGATTATTTCAAGTTGTTTAGTGGCCATCAGCAGCAGTACTCTTTTTTATTTGGGATTCGAGTTCAGCCTGTTAGGCTAGAGTCAGGACTCTGTCTGAAATCTCCATTTTAATTTTTTTAATTCTATTTTATTTTATCTACGTTCTTCAACTTAAAGTTTTATCACATTTCAGTCACTGATCAAGCTCAATTTGTTTGGAATATTTATCAATGGTTACGAGGGCTTTTATATATATATATATATATATATATATAATTGCATGATAAGCATAAAATATAGTCGAGTTTATTATTGGTTCTTCTTTTTTCCGTTTTTGTCCAAAGAAGAGGGTGGTAGCTGATTAGTTTTTTTTTTTTTTTTTTTTTTCTCCCTTTAAGAAGGAATCTTGTTCTAGTTCTAAGTGGAGAGCTCTTGGTTTTTTTGTTATTGGCACACGAGGTATTAAGTTATTAATAAGAAGTACTTGTTTTGATAGACTCGGATTAAGAGGACCAATTTTCTGGGGTTGCCACTTCGTTGATTGCTGAAGGAGTGGAGAATTTTTCTTGTTAATATTAAGTTATCAATCAGAAGTACTTGTTGATTGCCACTCGGATTAAGTGTTTTTAATTTTTGCACGCACCTACATTTAGCTTGCTTTTCTTGTAGTCCATTGGTTTGTTAGCCCTATTTGTTTAATTTTTTTTCCTAATTCTGAATGTAGCATAAATTATGGAAGTTCAGAGCTTGTGGTCTCAACACCCTGGGAACTTTGTTGTGATGCTGCGAATCCTCAATTAATTCATGATTCTAGGGTTTGTCGTTTGACTCGAGGGAGGCTTCATCTCTAGGTTGCTCGAGTAATGTTATTTTGCTAGAAATTTGAGGTCTAAATTGATTTTGAAATTAGGCAATTGGTTTGATTGCCCTATGCTTTTTTCTTTTTATTTTCTACTGCTGTTAAGAAGAATCAGTTACAACAAAAGGAGTTGAGTGCGTTTAGTGACAGAAATATGAAGCGAAAAATCTTTGTTAATGAGCCCTCCACAGCCATGGTTCTGAATGATGATGGTCTTTGTCCTTCTTATACCATATATTATTATATTCTTGGACTTTAAAATTGTATCACAAAAGGTGTTTTTTTCTTTTCCATGCACGAAAGCTCTGACACGATATGGGTACTCAGGGAAGATGGGACGACCATGCAACTTACTGAACACACTTATTGTTGGACATTTAGACTTGGGCTTAACATACAGTAATATTATTCGGTGCGAGTTTAGTCTGTTTGATAACAACAAAAACTATTGGGTCAAGCCTATTGTAACACATAAATATTAGTATATTACCGCGTCCTTGTGTCCTAAACATCAAAACCAAGCCTGGGCTCGAATTATCCCTCCAGAGTCCAGACGACTACTTCCCTGTTGATGTTGGGCCAGGACCATTCTTCTTCTTTTTTATCCGCTTAGGGATTTTCCCTTTTAGCGTAAGGTAATCACCGCTTTCCTCAGTCTCAGCAAATGATGGGACCAGCCTTTTATTCTGGTGATCATTACCACTTATCTAACCCTCCACGAAGGATATCTCCCTTCAGCCAGCCAGATCGCCCGTTTCAGCAAACATGGACCAGCAGGGCGCAAGAGGGACCAGTCTTGTCTTTTGTCAATAGACTTTGAATTGATTATCTTTGCTTTATTAAACCTGCGTTCCAAAAGATAACCAAAGATGCTTAGCACACAAAAGCTAAATTAATTGTCTTAGAGATTAATATAAATTACATTTTGAGACTTCATTTATCAGCTTAAATTTTTAAGTGGGATGATCCTTTAATATGGTATCGAGACTTGATTGACCAAGAGATCATGAGTTTAAGTCTCATTATCCACAATTTTTCAAGTATTAAATACAAGGTAATGTGGACTTTTACAAGTTTCAAACCTAAATATTGAGGCTTTGACTTAAGAAGTATATTAAAGACTAATATAAATTATTTTCTCGATACCTCATCTATTAAGCTTAAGCTTTTAGATAAGATGATCCTTCTCTCAAACTCAAGTATATATTATGCGAAATTCTTTAAGCATAGCAAGTGTTAATGGAAACACGACTGTCAAGCAAAGAAGAAAAAAATATCAAAATATTACTCTTAAATTAAAAAGTTAAAAATAGAAACCAATTGTAACACTAGGCTTTAGCTTTTGTTTGTTTAAAAAATTGATATTTGATTCATTAAAGTAAGGTAAAAAATTGTGGTGGATGAATTTGCTTTCACATGGAGTCTCTAATTGTCATCCTAAATTAACAGGTTGATTTTGGTTGAAACTTGTGTACTTGATAATCATAATCATATTATTTGATAAGACTTAATTGGTCTGGATCAAATTAAAGATTAAGAGCTGTCCTGTAGTGAGGTTTTCTGGATATAAGTAAAAAGAATTATCGAGCAACTCCAAAAGTACAAAATGAAGTATCCCGAGCTTGATAAACGAATTGCCATCTCTCTCATGAAAAGCGCATCGATAAACTGCTCAAAGGCTACGGGGTTAAATATTAATTTTTTATTTTTCTCTTCGAAGTTGAAATATTCTAAAGGATAAAAGGATCTATCCATCCTGAATTATAATTCATTTAATTCATATGAAATTGAATTCCGAAACTTTTTGATTAATTACGAGAATCTGAACTTTATAAATTAAATCCATCGAATAGACAAAACAGAAAATATGTATGTAGAAATAGAAAACACCTGAGACTGACTAAATCTAAAAAAGGATGCCTGAAAGATGTTAATTTTTTTTGTTAAACCCTAATTCACCCTAACCCACTATGAATTAATAGCAAATAAAACACCATGAACTAAACCTGAAACCAGTGAAACAAACTGGAAGAGAAAAAAATAAAATAAAAAGACCTTTTCAGCTCCAGAATATACACAGAGACGCAAGTGTTAAAAAAAAATTGAACACAAACAGCAACCAACCAAGATCTCCTAATCGGTCCTCAACAAACCCAAATTCCCCAACCCTACCTATATTCTCACCAACACCATCCGGTCCAACCAAGCCCTAGCCCTCACCCTCAACCCCACCAGCCTTACGGCTTCGCTGCCACTGCTGCAGCTGCTGCTGCATCCTCAATTGTTAAAATGGGTTTTGGTTTCGGGAGGTTGGGCTGTGGTGGCTATCGGTTGGTTAGCTTGGGGATTAACGGGTTTGTATGATGGCTGCTATAAGGGGCTGTTGTGATGGCTGTCGGGTTTAATGGGGGAGAGAAGCCGCGACAGTGGCAATGGGGAAGGGACGACAAGGAACTGTGGTAGTAAGGAGCTACTGTTGTGCCGTCGGGATTAATTGAGGTATGGGGGCTGTAACAGAGGTTGTTGACAGTTGGACTTTTGGTGGAGATGATAGCTGGGACTAACGACAGCGTATGGGAACAAGGAAGAAGAGATCGGCAGAGATGATGGCTTTTTTGACGGAACAGTTGGGTTGTTTCGGCAGTTAGGGTTTATGAGAGAGATTGTACTTTTCACGATGTGATTGGGTTTCTTTCGCGATTAATTAATCATTAGTTAAAGTGAGTTAGGATAGGTTAGGGTTTAATAAAAAAATAAAAATTATCAGCCAATCATTCGTTCGATTTAGTTAGCCACGTGTATTTTACATTTCTAAGTATATATTTTTTTGTTATTTCTAACAAAAAAAAAAAAAAAGGTAAACTTAATTTTAAAATTTATAAAATTCAGAAATCCTAGAACTAATAAAAAAAATTATAAGAATTTGTGTTTTCATTTTTTTATTTTTTCTTTTTGAAGTTGGAGTAAGACAAGAAGTGAATCTGTGGGCGGACAACGAAACCACAGGGCTCATCAAGCAAGTTTTCTCCCGTGGGAGTTTAACTCCAGATGGCATACTTACACCTGCACATGCACTCTACTCAAAAAACAATGGAGTTGTCCATTTGATACTTCGAGGACCCGATATAGAGACTTTCATCTTCTTAATGCAAGAACCGTCGAAGTTACTTTTTTTTCCTATATATATGTATATATATATGAAGTTTCATAAAATTTTTGTCAGTATTTATACTATATATAAGTTCTATTCACGTCAATTATAATTAAAAGTAACTCTTTCGAATAAAAAATTTATTTTGATATCATATTATTGTAGTAAAAATAGGGTTTTGAATGGAAATTTTATTCACCCTAATGCACTTTGTATATTCACAAGACAACTAGAACATTATAATAACCAATAAAATATTTTTTTTCTTTTTTTTTCAAAAAGACTGGAATTTTCTCATAAAAATATATAATATGAAAAATATATTTCCAAATTTTAATTTTTGATAAATAAATTGATGTAATTTTTTAAATAATTATTATTTTCATGAGATCTAATTATAAAAACTCATATACATGCATGCAATAGAGAGACACACACATGTATACTAACTAATAACTATTTTATGTCTATATGTATTATCTCAATTCGAACAAAATTTATTTATATGTTTTAACAATCAACAAATTAATTTTATTTACAGTTTATCAAACTTTATACAGAACTATTCAAATTTTAAAAACCAAAAATTTTAATTCAATTAATGCTAAAAATATTTACGTATAAATAATTCAAAATAATCTATTAGAGATTACTAAAAAGTATTATTCAACTGCCAAAAAACTAGTCCCCGAAAGTATATGGTTTCATTTATTATATATATTATCAGTAATAATTGTTTTCTTTTTTAAAAATATTTCCATGCATGCAAGAGAAGTCGAATTAACACACTTAAAAAATTAAAGGTATTTAAGAAGAATCCAAGAAAGAAAGAAAAAAGAACCGAAGCGCTCTCTCTCTCTCTATATATATATATGAGAAATTTTAAAACACAAAACCCTAGTCCCAAAGCACGCAACACTAAAAAGCTATGGCTCTCGCTGTAATGAAACCTGTTAAACCTGGTTTAGAGGAACCCCACGACCAAATTCATTGTATCCGGATTACTCTTTCTTCAAAGAACGTCAAGAATCTTGAAAAAGGTTTTCTTTATTTCATTTTTTATTTATCAACTAGGGTTTTATATGTTTTGTTATTTATTTTGCTTATTGTTTCTGATATCTTTTGTGTGTGTGAGTGTGTTTTTTTTTTTGGGGTGGGGCGGTTTATTATTATATGCAGTGTGTTTTGTTCTTATTCAGGGCGCTAAGGATAAGAGCTTGAGGGTTAAGGGACCGGTGAGGATACCAACCAAAGTTCTCGGTATTACCACTAGAAAATCTCCAAGTGGTGAAGGTATTGATTCACTTTATAAATTAGTTAATTACATCTTTTTAATGTTTGCTTGATCTATTTTTCTCTAAATATTTGTGGGTTGTCTTTAGATTACGGTATGTTAATTGTTATCGGAATCTGGAGCATTCGATTCTTTGTATTGGAGTGATCTTGATGGTGTCAATGTGTGTGTACATATGTTGAATGATCTTCATTGATTTTCAGGAACGAACACCTGGGATAGGTTTGAGCTCCGCATCCACAAGCGAGTGATTGATCTTTTTACCTCTGCTGATGTGGTGAAGCAGATTACTTCCATCACCATTGAGCTTGGTGTTGAGGTTGAAGTTACAATTGCAGACTGATCAAGTCTATTTTTTTTTTTTCATATATATATATATATGAATTTAAGAATGCGGTCTAAGATATCCAGATTATTGAAATGAATTTTTGTTTTAAGAACAGTCTTGGTTGGAAATATTGAATTTGAATTTCCTATTTTTAATAGTTTTGCCGGAGGAACTATTTGGTGAATCTTAAAGATTTGCTGTGTATACTTTTATTAGCTATGTTTATCATGATGATAATTTTGACAGAAATTTAATTGTGTGCTTGGATGCATCTATATTTACGGCTAATCCCCTTCATGACAATTTCTATATGCATGTAATTGCTCTCAAATGTCAGGGCGTTTTGAACCTTATACTATAAGATTCCCTAGGAAGAGCTGAAAGCAATCTTATATTTTCCATGTTTAATCAATGATCATCTGCAGAATTTTGCAGCAGAATTAATTTTATAATTCAGTTTATAATTTAAATTATTAAAAAAAAAACGAAATTAAGAGCCATGAGATTTTCATTGTTTCTAACATGTTCACCTTCCTTAATTTGTTATTCATTGGATGGAAATTTATGTAATTTTTAATGTGGTTTTCTTTTATTATTTTTATATATTTTTGGGCATTAATTTCAAAGTTATTTTTCTTCTATTCTCGTCTCCCAAGTTGTAACTTTTTTTTCAATCTACAACTTTATTTTTCTTTCATTGTGGTCCCTACATGCCAAGAGGAGAGAGAAACGAGGGAGAGAGAAGGGAGGAGAGAGAAAGGGATGGCGAGGCCCATTCCGGCCATCCCGATGGTCGAGCTTACCACTATTTTGTTCGACTTGATGAGTAGAATCCGTTTGTTATGGTAGAAAATGATGAAATGATCGAAAGGATGGATTGAGATCCAAATTTTTTTTAAAAAAAATTTGGTTTGAATTTTTATGCATTAAAATAGACTTTGTGGTTCTAAAAGCGTTTTTTGATGTAATTGCTATAATTTTAAAGTATTTTTAGACAAAAACGAAGCTAAATTTGATTTTGATAGACCAAAATTAACAAACCCGACTTTCCGACTATGAAATCAAAATCACCTGTCTCGAATTCAAAACAAATTTTTATTTTTGTCCAAGCCCGCACAAACTAAGTCCAATACTCTAGGCCGGGTTTGCAGCGTGGTCTCTAGAACCGTGCCCACGAGCCTAGTTCTTGGTTTTTTTTTTCTTTTTTTCTTTTCTCTATTTTTTTTTTCAAATTAAGATTTTTTAGGAAAACATTACGCAATATTAAACATTATTATTTGTGTTTTTCACACAACGTAGTATAATTTATTTTTGATCCATGTTATATATATATACACACACCCATTATCTCTATTTGAATTTATCATTTCTTATGAAAAATCTTATCTAATTAATATTTTTTATAAAAAAATTTATTTATTGATAAATATAATTTATTTTTCTATTTTTTTAAATTCTAGAATAAAATTTTAAAACATAATTTTTTTTTCTTTTTTAAAAATAAATTGATATAATATATATATATATATATATATATATATATATATATATATATATATATGAATTCTTAAAATTTTCAAATGTATATGTGTGTGTGTGTGTGTATCTAAAAGGTTAAAAATGTATTTCAAATGATTTCTCTCATTTCACTAGGTATGACCAAGACATATTAAAAAAAAACTATTAAATCACCATTTTTATTAAAAATTAAATATACATCTTCAAACAATACAAATTATTTTCTATGAATATTTTCTTTAACATTATAGAACCAATTTATTTGAAATAAAATAACTAAAAATAATTTCTTAAAGGAACTAACAAATTATTCAAATATAGTTTTTTTATGCTAATACAAATTATTAATTATTTTGTAAATAAATATACATAGATCAAATGCATGTGCTTTCAAAAAATAATCTTCCCATCAATATTAAATAAGAATAAAATTTAATTTTTTTATTAGTTAATATTATACAAGTCTATACGTTAATTATAATTTTATTTTTTGGATACATTCTTATAAAAAATATATTTTTAAAGTATTTTTTTTTGAATTCTTAATTAATATTTCAGCTTAAAATATTACAAGTTTTTATCTAAGAATCAATAACTAAAGAAGAATAAATCATGTTTTTTTTTACGTACAAATTTTATGAAAAACATAAAAACTTAAATAAAAAACTTAATAAAAAATTATAAAATTTTGAAATGATTTTGTTCTATTTGATACACAACGTTACACGGATAACTTTAAAAATTAATTTTTTTATCAGCATTAAATAAGAATATTTTTTTATTTGTTAATTTTTATACAAGTCTATCTTTTAATTATAACTTTATTTTTGGGATATAATAGTATGAAAAATATAGTTTTGAAGTTTTCTTAATTCATAATTAATATTTCATTTAAAATTATTATAAATTTTTATTTAAAAATCAATTCATAAAGAAGAATGAATTATGGTTTTTTAAGTAGAGAATTTATGAAAAAAATTAAGAAAAATTAATTAAAAGAAGTTATTTTATTCTGACAAACTCATAGCATAGTGGGGACAACCAATTAGTTAGTACTAGATTTTTTTGCCCGCGCTACGTTGCGGGTAGGATAAAATATATAAAACTATTTAAAAAAATTATTTTAATTTGATAGTCTCGCTTATAGTGTGAATGTATAAAAATATTTGAAATCAAAAGCGAAAAAAAATATTTTAAATTTTTTAATGTAATTTGAAATTCAATGGATGAGAATTTTTTAAAAATGACAAATTAAAATAGTAAATTTTAAATAATAAAAATAATCAATAAAAAATATTAAAACAAAATGTGATCAAACCACAATATGATTAAAGTTTGAAATTAAAAAAAATATATTGTATAAAAAAATTGAGGGCTATATAATATTAAATTAATTGGATGAGAAAAGAATGAATAATATTAAAATAAATGAAAACTATCGTTAAATGTAATTTTAAATTAATTAGATGAGAATTTTTTTTAAAAAAATTAAAGTTATCAATTTTCAATAATAAAAATAATTAAAAAAAATGGGTTAAATCACAAAAAAAAATTAAAAATTAAAAATTAAATTTTTTTTAAAAAAATTGTATAGAAAAAATATATATAAAGAAAAACAAAGACACACTCACCTAATACACACACTATATTTTAAAAACTAAAATACCGACGTTCTAAAATTTTAATTCAAAATTCATATATTAAAAAACTAAATTTATTAACAAGTAAAATCATATAAAAAGATTAATTTGATTTGAATTTTAATAAGAAATAAATAATTGAAAAAAATAAATAATATAATTAATATAATTAGATATACTCTCTCTCTCTCTCTCTCTCTCTCTCTCTCTCTCTCTCTCTCTCTCTCTCTCTCTCTCTATATATATATATATATATATATATATATATATATATATATATATATATATATATATATATATATATATATGTTAAAAAAATTTAAAACTCATTTAAAAAGTAAAATTATATGTGTGTGTGTGTGCAGCGAGAGCAGCTACTGGTTGGCCTTTGCAACCAGTGCTGCACATTATTATTAAAAAAAAGAAAAAAGGTTAAAAAGCTGGGAGGCCGGGCGTTGGCTCAGTGTAGGCGAGCTCGCACTCAATGGCTTTGCGCTAAGCATTGCTTGCGGACTGAAAAAAAAAAATCCCGCAACTTCGACTAACCGAGGTCGTCGAAAGTTCGTCGAAAAATCGAAAGTCAACTTTCGCATTCCTAAAAATTGAATTCCAGCATCATTTTTTTCCAAAACACCTCTAAATGACCGAAATAAAGTCAATAAACACATCTAAAACCCTAAAAATCATTCTCATACACACAAAAACAAAGAAAAATACAAAATCAAATCGAATTTTTTTTCTTTTTTTAGCTCCGATCTACCTCCTCTAATTGTTTAATGGCTTGAAACCACAATGGACAAACTCATCTCTTAAAGATAAACAAATCTAGTGGATTTTTGCCGGTCGGAGGGGCCTAAATGAGCGTGGTCGACGATATCTCTCTCTCTCCTCTCAACCTTTTCTCTCCACTCAAGAACCAAAATGGATGAGCAAATGAACGTGTGGATCTAAATATGCGTTCGACAATATCGAGAACCAAAGTGTAAAAAAATTATGAATAATGAAAGCAACAATAAATTATGAAAGAGTAAATAGTAAAATATGAGTCCGTACAATGTTTCAAATAGTATAGCTACAGTAACTATTCGTTTTCTCTTAGTTTATTAGTTAATCTATAGCTTGTTTACGCTTTATTTTTATGGCTAGCTATTGGCCTCTGTTACTGCCTGATCACTCACTTAGTTAGGTTGTCATTCTTCATACTTGGTTAAAGCCCAAGCCTTTTCAACTTTTTGCTAGGGCCGCCAAAGAATGGTTGAACATAAAAATTGGATTTAACCTCCTAATAAACTGAGTTTTCAATTGCTGTTAAATTGTGCCGTATATTTTTGAGAAGCATGACTATATTACATTTTAGTTTGTGTGTGTCTATATATATATATATATTTAGAGAAGCGCTTAGTATTCTTTAATTGTTTAATAAAAGTAGCTTATTGTTTCCTTCCAAATTTCTGTTGATTAATCTTTCTGAACATGATAGATAAAAAAGGACCTAAAATATGCATGGAGGGTCATGGTCAAAGTAAGCCGAAGTAATCACATGAAGAATCTGATTCAGCAATTATTCTAGCACGTTGAAATCCAAAATAAGTTTACATTGCTAGATGGTGATTCATTGAATGGAATGAGATGAAAGCAAAATGGGCCCATGGTACGCTGGATCTTCATTTATTGCCTTTTTCAGTTTTCTGCATGATTGTTCAGTTCTCTCTATCTAAATGCAAAGGAAATGCAGATGTAATATGCTCATGGTGTCTCGCCACGAGGGTTAGCTTATAGCGTCCAGAATTCGGCCCAAGAGAGCTTCCACTCTACGGTGAGCAGAGTTCAAGTTGGAACTACCCTCGCTACCTCAATATATGACACCCTGCCACCTCCATGTTATTTTATGGCTGGATCACTGCTATAGGATTCATAGTTCAGTATGGCCTAGGGATCCAACCATGCGTTCTCCTGAAAGATTACATTTAATCCCATGGGCATCAAGTTGATGCTTTTTCTTTGCTGGGATGTCATCAGGACTGTAGTTTTTACGATCCCTTGAAACCATGCAACAAATGAGGATGTCATCAAGAAGTCACTGTTCTAGAAAAAGGTTATAAATAAATAACTGCAATAGCAATTGCATGCTAGTTATCCAAAATGCCTTAAATATTTGCCCAGAAACTCTTAATGACTTGATCTCAAAGCAATCGATAGCAGACAGTAAAAAATTATATAGATGAATGAATTGGGGAATCAAACTAATCAGCTAAGAATGTCCTTGAAACACAAAGCAAGTGCATCTATATATATACCCTGTAATTTCCTGCCTTCCAACTCCAAGAATCATATCCACCAAGCTGAGATTAACCATGCCAATTGGAACAATATTAAGTTATATTCTTTCCAAAAAAGGAATAAAGGCTATTCCAGCACATAAGTTAGGATACATGACATGGAATATGACTCCAAACAGAGCAACTCCTTTCTCGTAGTTTTCCAGTAATATATATATATTTGTGGAATTCCGAAATTTACTTGCTGAAATCTCAAAATCTAAGCAGACTCACTACAAAGATATCTAATTGTAGAAGATCCTTGTCTTAGGTTTCTATACAAACAAAAGTCGAAACAATTGCACCAATTTGTGCCTAAACAATTGGACTTCGATTTCTCTCAGATTTTCAGGGGAACAAAAATAACCAAAGAACCAAAACAGTCTCCTACATGATAACAAGACATAGAAAAAGAATACAGCAATGCAAATGGAGTGTAAAAATGCCATGCTTCAAGGGAATTCTTCAAAGTCTCAGGGAATGAGCAAAATAAACAGTGAAGGTTTGCCTTGTCCAAATTCATTGTTTAATAACCAACGCTTGCATATTCTGTGATGAGTAAATACCAAATTCCAATGAAGAAACTCGAGAAACATGCAATAGATTAGAAATAGAACAAAAATAGCACATCTAAAAATGCAAAAAGGAACAGAAGGTTAGGGCAAGACCAGAGTTGCAAAATTTAGGAATGCATAGTTGGAAGCATATAAAAATTGATTAACTCTACCAGCAAATGTGGCCTTTAGCATCACATTCATTAACAGAATGTTACAACATCCAGGAATATCATGTATGACAAAGAACAAGATAAAACTCTAGGTCAAATGCAACACATAACTAATATCTATCATTTACTCACAACAACAAAAACAAAAGGAAGGACTTGATGGACTTTTGAATCAAGTATGAATGCCTCAACTCAGACACGAGCTGGTCTAAAAAGGTAAAAGAGTAATAGTTTACTATCAAAATCGTTCACAACAAGCAAAACAGAAATATTTGCAGCTGAATTCATCATGGATATCGATAACAGATAAAGCCTTTGTAGAAAAATAAAACACACTATACAATAGTCAAATAAAATTCAAATTGTCCAGTAAGAAAACAAATCAACGAAATTAACGTGTCCTATTTTATTGAATGATACATGTCCAACAATCAGCATATGCTCTATCAGTCATGAATTCTACAATACCAAAACTACAACAATTACATATTCCAAAAATAGGAAACAAAAAAAAAGGATGGTTCTGGCTTTGTTTTGATACAGCGCAGAAAGTGCCCAACAAAACAGAATCCACCAAACATACAATCTTCCTCAACATAGGACAAGACATTCCTCCTTGTACAGCATCAATTAAACATATATGAAAGGCAATTATCATGCAATGAACGAACACAGAAATGTTAAGAAAAACAATTATAAGAATCATAATGAACAAGGAATGTTTTCCAAGTACCGAACCAAAAGAATTCAACTCATCTTGCAACAGCCTTCTTGTCTCCATAGTAACCGAGGTACCACCGCACAAATTTCTTCAATCCTGTCTGCAGATCCGTGGTAGGCTTATATCCAAATTCCTTATTAGCATAACTAATATTTGCATGAGTATATGGAACATCCCCATTGTGTGGCAACTTCATAACATTCCTTTTAGCCTTAACCTTCAAAAGCCTCTCCAAAATACTAACAAGATCAGTAACCGGCACAGGAGATGTATTCCCCAAATTGAAAACCCTCAATTGTGCTGGCCCTTTCTTCTTCCCTCCACTCCCAGTACTCTTCTCTGCCGTATCCAACGAACCCAAACAACCCTTCACAATATCATCAATGTAGGTAAAATCCCTAGCAACATTCACATGATTCGCAGCCTCAAAAATGGGTATAGTCTTCCCATTCAAAATATCCTTAGTGAAAAAGAAATATGCCATATCCGGCCTCCCCCAAGGTCCATAAACCGTAAAAAATCGCAACCCGGTAAGTGAAAGCCCGTAAATATGATTATAAGTATGTGCAATTTCCTCACCAGCTTTCTTAGTAGCTGCATATAAACTAGCAGGTTGATCAGTTCTATCTTTCTCAGAGAAAGGCACTTTAGTATTAAGCCCATAAACAGAACTAGATGATGCCCAAACAATCGCTGGTTGTGGATTTGCCTCTTTGCAAACTTCTAACAAGCTAACAAAGCCAGCAATATTACTATGCACATAAGAGCCAGGATTTTGCATTGCATACCTAACACCAGCTTGGGCTGCCAAATGCATAACATGAGTAAAAGGCACCATTTCAAACAATTTCTTCAGCAAAGCAACATCGTTTATATCTCCTTCCACAATAAAAACACCACTTCTTTCAAGAAGTGCTTGTCTTGCTCTCTTCAAATTTGGATCATAGTAATCATTGAAATTATCAAGCCCCAAAACACCATCACCACGGCGTTTAAGGGCAGAAGAAACATGGGTTCCAACAAAACCAGCTGCTCCTGTAACTAAAACAGAGAGCCCATTTCGAGACCGGATTCGGGCAGAGGTCCGGACCCGTTTTTCCCAAGCAGCTCCGCCCCAAGTGTTAGAAGTAAGATAACGGCGTGATGTATCGGAGGTTGATGAAGATGATGGAGAGCGATAAAAGAAGAGAAAGATTACTGCAATGAAGAGAAAAGACCAGAGACTAAGTTTGGCTAAAGAGGAATGCCACCTTGTTCTTGAATAATATGGTGATTTGTCAATCTTAAATTTGCCTGGTGTTGATGGGGTATGATCAAGATGAGACATTTTCTTGAAAATTCAAAATGTGGGTTTTCTTCCGTTTTCTTGATTTCGATAGGTTAGGGTTAGGGTTTGAAGGAATGTGGATTGATGATTGATGCTGGTGGTGGTGGTGGAGATGAGGAAGGGGGGAGCTTTTGTCTTGCTATTTTACCTGTTTTTCATGTTGGGTTTGAGGGGTATAAGGAATCTATTTTTCTTTCTGGTTTCTTGGAAGGATGGATTAGTGTTATTGGCGACTTTCTCTTTGACAGGAATAAAGAGCAAAGGTTCTTGATTTTGTGTTAAAAATGGTGATTGACAAGAATGGAGAGGTATGGATTTAGAGAGAGGTTTAAAATTTATGTAATGAGAGATGAAGAAGAGTCAAAGAACCTAAGGTTAACTTGGATTAAGCTGTTAAAAATAAGGGCGTGACAGATTTTTTTTGTTTTTGACTGTTTGAATGAGAATTTTTTTTTTATAAAAAAAGGGAATTGGAGAATGGAGGGATTGTAATTAAAATCAAAGCTTGTCTGTCTTATTTCTATGTGTAGGACTTGGATTTGATTGGACGGGAGACCCTGAATCTGGGACAGTCAAAATTAGCAAACCTTCCTTTATTTACGGTTAGCTCGAGAGGTAATTTCTTAACTTAGGGAGAGTGACTGATTAACATGAGATTTGAAGATGAGGAGAAAATGTATGGTTCTATAGATTAGAGATGTTGTTGGAGATGGTGTGGATGAGGTTTTGAGGCTAATTATGAAGGGGTTCCTTCCTAGTTCCTAGCTTTCATACCTTTGAAATGTGTGAGAGATTTATGGGGATTTGAGACTGAATTTTCTCATTAATTTTGAGGTTCATGATCATATGAATGTAGGAGCATTAAGGTTCAAAGTACCTAAACTATTAGGCTTGGACTGTGATTAATCACTATGCTGCAGTAATTTATGCTAGTAATTTCATCGATTCAGATCTCATTAACTCCATCTTTTTTCGCATTAAATCCTATATGTAATGGATTGCATTTAATGGATACGTGGTAAAAAACCAAAAGGTGTTTTTAAGGAAAGATTTCGTCCGAGTTTCAGCTGTTTTCGCTCAAACTAGGAAAGGAGCTAGACGGTTAGACCCAAAATTGACCAAGAAAAATGCTGCTTCACAGACCAAATTATAGGAAACTATGCTATACTTGTATCGGAAGAATGAAAACTCCAATAATTTTTCGTAGTAATTGTACTTTACATGTGTCACTGTCACAGGGAATTTTTGACAAAAATAATTGCGCCTTTTTTTCTTTTTCTTTTTCCTCCATACATTATATAAAGCAGTATCATAAATTTAGTAGGTGTAAGTAATTATGAATAGGGGTCGGGATACTACTTAGTGTACTAATGATACTGATTCCAGCTTACCTTAATCACCTACCTAAATTTGCACAAGATTACCTATGAATTAAAGATAAAAAAATCGAGCACAATCTTTTCAAACAAAATAGGCAGATGACATTTTTTTTTTTTTTTATCAAAAGATTAGTGGCTTATTACGAAGATAGTCAACATTGTGGTGAGCATTGATGGTGCAGCACAAAACTTGAAATGAAGGCAAACGCATTAAAGCACCTTTCCAATGAATCTTTATGGATAGCTTAGATTGCAATTTATGTTAGGCTAGCAGCTAGCAATGCATCATGTGGATTGGTGAAATGTAGAGATTATTGTGGAATCACAAGCCAAAAATCCAGTTTACTTCCTTCGAAAGCTCAGTGTGTCTCAAAATGAAGAAGAGTGATGTTGAAGAAAATTATATCCAATTTTTTGTCCCACAAATTCCTTGCAGTATAACCACCGCCCTAACCTTCTTTAACTAATGCTCTCCTTTGTATTACGCATAACCCTAACACAGATCAGGTGATATTTGACCATTCAGCCATTGAGTATTCCTGTTGACTGCATTTTCGAATTTGTATTGGATCCGTATAATCTAATTAAAGCATGAATATATAGCAAAAAAATTGGAGGGTCCCAAGAACATTGCTTCACTAGACACTAATGCACTGGCCTTTTTTTCTTTTTTTTTCTTTTCACCTGATAGATCAGATGAGTAGTTTATATTTTGAAGGAAAAGCAAAGGAAAATAGTAAATTTCCACAGCCACCGCCCCAAGGGGCACACCTCGAATTAGTTCTATCTTTATGTACTTTGGCAACATGTTCCATGCCTTGTGAGTTGGTATCGAGGTGTGATTTCACAGATATGGAGACCAATGCCTTCTTCACAGTTTCTTTGGTGACTAGACACACGTGAAAGTCATCAGAGTTGAGCGTTAAAAGGTAGGCCAAAAAGCTATAAAAAAATTAGAGAAAGACAAGTATCTCATTATTGATGAGCTGCTAGAAACCAACCAATGCGGTGAGCATTTATAAGTTGTGATCAAACATGGGCAAGAGAAAATATAACACGTTCATGTCAAATCGTCAAAAAAACGAAGTCCTCTAGCGTGCCTAACTCGAACCATAAGGGTGGACTTGATGTTAATGCATAATCGAGCTAGAAAAGGGTGAACTAGGAGGATGTTCACTTTAAAAAGAGCCCGAACTAAATAAGGGAAAGGATGACCTTTTCTCCATAATCTTGTCCAGGATAGTTGAATTAAGTTCTGTTTGACAAATCTGCTCAACTCAAATTTCATCCCACGTATATCTAAAGCGAGAAGGGTAGAAAATATAAATATTTATTGACTTAATCACTTCAAGCATTCATTGACTAATGGAGAACGAATAGAACCATTTGAGTTCATAATTATTGACTAGTCTCCCTCTCTACAGAGCAAAGAATAATGACCCAAGTCTCGCCATTCCTTTCAGATAAGACCAGTCTCCAGTACATTAACATCAACCTGCTTGCATAAGTTACCAAATATTACAGCATGATACATGAAAAAAATAGGGTTGATTCCCAGACTACCATGGTTGCTGATGGTAATGGATAGCCTCTTATCTCTCTTGTATACATGGTGAATGATTCAAGTGCAAATCAATGCTTCGTGTACCTCTCAAGGACTTCAAAGTAGTCTGGGAAAGTTTTTCGAGTGCAACCAGGGTCCTTGATGGTGACTGGGACTTCTCCACAAGCAGCAAGAGAGAATGCCATTGCCATCCTGTGATCATCGTAAGTGTCGATCTCTGTCACGTTTAGTTTCTCAGGTGGAGTAATCACACAGTAATCTGGTCCTTCTTCAACTGTTGCTCCCAACTGAAATATAAAGCCCAGATGTCAACCAATGCAAATTGTTTAACCGAGTACTTTTCTACGGTAGAAATTAAAATGAGTAGAAAGCCACTAAAAACTGACCTTCCTCAATTCTGTGCAAACAGCAATCATTCGTTCTGTTTCTTTCACTCTCCAGCTTGCCACTGGAAATTAGAGAAAGCAAGAGATTTGAGTCAAAGTTATACACCAGAGAAAATTGTGAATCCTGGAACACTTTATTAGCATGAACATACAGGAATAAAAAATCTAAATGTCAATTCATTATAGACGAGTCTGAGTGACTTATAGAACTCCGAGGCCAAATATTGGGTATTTAAGGATTTTGAAAGATAAGGTTTGCTTACGTTTATTGCTATTCTCCACAGCCAGAAGTTAAACCACACCCTCATTTCCCCCAGTGGCAAACTAACATTACTGATCTACCAAATAGTAATCATGAAATCATTTTTTATTGACATGAAATAGTTTGGGAAGTTTAGGACCGTGTAAATATCAAATTCCTGGCATACACTGCAGTTTCCCTCGCTGTCATTTTATTTAGAAACTAAAAGGCACTCCAGTTGTCACATTTAAAAGATCACATACCATCTCTTATAGCAGTAGGGCCATCAGCAAAAAGTGCAACAACTGCCAGAGTCATGGCAACATCTGGCATTTTGTTCATGTTTACATCAACAGCACGAAGGTGTTTCTGACCAGAAGAATCTCGTGGAGGTCCAGTGACAGTAACACTGTTCTTTGTCCAGGTAACTTTAGCTCCCATTTTCTCAAGAACCTCTGCAAACTTTACGTCTCCCTTGATTTCCAACCAAAAAGAAACTTGAGTTAGTTTGACAGGCAAGAGCAGTGAATGGATTCGTATACTACAATGTACTTGTCTGATGCATGTAATGTTAAAATAAACTTCGTAACGTTCTCTCACTTTCCTGGAAATTATTAGGAACGAGGGAGTCAATCCATACACTGGAAGACATCGTGCAAAATTTGAGAAGAAATCTAACAATGTTTTTGACATGTGGTAAGCATATCTACTCCACATTCAGAAATTACTGCATGCAATAAGACCAATATTTTTGCATGAGTGAAATACCTGCAAACTATCTGTCCCACAACCTTCAACAGTGATGGTCCCACCAGTGATTGCTGCACCAGCTAGGAAATAACTGGCGCTTGACGCATCACCCTCAACAAAAGAATTTCCAGGAGACCTGATTGAATTTTCAGTGTGTTACTTTGAGAGCAAAATTATTTACAGAACTCATGCACTATAAATGCAAAAGAAACCTACTTGTATTTTTGACCTCCTTGAACAAAAAAACGATCCCAGCTATCACTGTGCTCTACAAAGACTCCATAGCGCTCCATCAACTTCAAAGTCATCTCAACATAAGGAACAGAAATCAATTTGTCAATGATTTCAATTTCCACATCTCCAAGAGCTAAAGGAGCTGCCATGAGCAAAGCAGTCAAGTATTGACTACTTATTGATCCAGAGAGTTTAACCTGAAAATGGAGACACAGGAAACATGAATTAAAAATGATGACTTTTGTTTCATCATTACTGACAACAGCTCCAACTGTTTATTTCAAAAATATCTTTCTGAAACAAGAAACTAACATTGAAGTTGCAGGCAAAGCCTGAATTTAGTTCACAATAGCAAATTCAAGTTCAAAATGCAAAAATATTATGCAGCAATGGCTTAAGAATATGGATACTTCCCAAGAAAGCTCAGTGCGTAATTAATAAAGAGATGGATGTTGCAAGTTCAAGTTTCTCATTTCAAACGAACAACCAGAAGCACATACATATTTAGCACACATGAGAAAACATATATTTTTCTTATTGACAGCAGAAAGACTACTCCGACCAGTAACAAGCCAAACACAACTATCGCCAGCCAGGATTACCTTTCCCCCTGGAAGGCCTCCATTTGCATTTATACGAACAGGAGGGCAGTTTGTAGGAGAACAAGAAACATCTGCACCAAGCTGCTGAAGACCAATAACCAAATCACCAATTGGTCTCTCCCTCATTCGTGGCACCCCATCAAGTATGTAGCTGAAGTGTATTGGATAACACCAGCAAAAAAGAAGGAAGCACCGTAAGTAAAGAGCTCCAGAAGTAGTAGAATTGATATGAAAGACAGAGAGATGCACTCTCCTAAAGTGACAGTCATTCATTGTTGTATTTTGCAGGTAAATTATAAATTGAACAAAATTGGGCCATTGGTCCAAGTAACAACCTTCAAAGCCAAAACAACATTGAGAAATTTAGAAATTTATTCTACTTGGGATGTTTCCTATGGAGACTACGCCCTAAAGCTTATAATATGAAAATTCAACTTTGTGATGGTGATTTATCCTAATGACAAGCTGATGGTTGTTGAGACCACGTAGAAATCTAGTTTACATATAGTTTACCTCCTAAATAAGCAGGATTAAATTGTCAGCATCAATTTATTTAAAGGGCAGAAAGCAATAGTCAGGGAGTGAAGCAATGTAGAACAGACCTCGAATTTCCACCTGCAGCAGTAACTGCAGCTGTCAATGGACGCATTGCTGTTCCAGCATTTCCAAGGAAAAGTTCAACATCAACTTTTGCTTCTTTTCCCACTGGAAACTGACCACCACAACCTTCTACAATCGCTTGTTTGAGTTCCCTATCCTCTTCCACACGTAGACCAAGCGTTCGTAGTGCACCGAGCATGTAATGAACATCTTCACTGTTTAACAAATTGTCAACAACAGTCGTACCCTGAATGACACAGATGAAAACAATAATTAATACTTGCCAACATACTCAACAGGCCAGAAAATGTAAGACAAGACTCCCTATATGCATAAAATATTCACTATTATAAGGAAGTAAGCACAACCAAACGCTAAAAGCATTCACTATATAAGGATCATTACTAGAAGCCATTCTCCTCTATATTGTCATTTTACTAAACATTGTTAACAGCATAAAAATAAATCAAATTGAATTCCCAAGTGAAAAATGCAAACAATAACAATCAACAACCAAATAATGATCTTTTGTGAAACTAAATAATAAACAATAAAAAAATCACTCTCTTTTTTCCCCCTTCCAACTACATTTTTCTCAAATCTGTATAATAATTGACAAACTAAATATCACTTCCACCAATAAAACCCCAATCTTTCAAATTTTATTATATCCTATTAAACTCACATCTCAGAATGTAACAAACACAACAAAGTACTCTAAGAAATGCAAAACCCAAAAGTCAAAAATTTAACTTGATTTCATTTCCTAAACTAGCACAAAAATAAAAACCAAAAAGCAATAAACATCTTCTAGCATCATATATACATATATAATATTACCTCAGAGAGAGCAGCAAGAAGGAGAATCCGATTAGACAGAGACTTAGAACCCGGCAAAGTAACGGTACCAGAAATATCTTTGATGGGTTGCAAAACAATCTCAGGTACAATTGATGGCTTCTCTGCTGTAGCAACTGAAGCTAAAACCTTTAAAGGTCCAACCTTTACTTTGCAATTACCCATTTTTTGACATTGCTTTAAACCCAAAGAAGACCTTTTAATGAGCTGTGATCCAAAGGAAACCGAAGATAAAGATTTGGGTATTTGAGGTTTTGTAAGAATAGGTTTTGTGTAGGTGTTTTGTGCTCCATTGCTGATTTTGCTCCCTTGAGCCATGGCTTTCCCTCTGTCTCTCTCTTCTGTTTCTTCTCTTACAGTACAACACAGCACAACAGTTTGTGTTTTCGTTGTGCTTTTTCGAGGAGGTTTGGCCTGCTTAAGGGTTTTCGGTGGGCTTGTGTCTTAGTTGTTGTTAGATTCACCAACTAACTTTTATTATTATTATTATTTATTTATTCGTATAAACTTTATCCCTAACATATTACCTTAGTTTTAATTTCATAACCAACCAATGAATTTTATCAATTTCATCTCAAATCTAACCCGGTCATTACCTTGGAGCTTATTTTCATCCCAAATCTTTCTATTGAAAATCTTTCCTCCCAAATCTGTTCAAAACTAGACACTTTTTTCCTTCAGTGCAAGAATTGTCGTGTTTGTCTTGGCATAATTTGGTCGTGAGAAGGAAAACTGTCTAATTTCTAACTTTTTGGGATGAAATTAACAATTATGCAATACGTTAAGGATGATAATGAAGTTACCCTACGTTTTAATTTTTCAATTTTTTTGGCTTTCTATTACTAGTTTAGAGATTTTTGGCACCAAGAAGGGGGTTGGTGAGGGGAGCAAGTTTTGATCTTGGAAATCCACGAGTGTACATCCCAGTCTTTCATCAGCATCCAGACCACCAAGTCACCAACCCTTTGTTTGGCTCATATGCGGTAGACGGCACCCAAAGAGTGGGACCCATGAAGTAGGTTTGATTTACACCAAGAAAATGTGCTGCTTTTTTTTTTTTTTTTGGGGAGGTGGGGGGCTGCCAAAGTGTGTAGGTATGGCATAAGCGATTTAGCACCGATTAATATAATAATTCACCGAAAGAGAAGGGAAAAAAAAAAAAAAAAGGACTAAAATGAAGAAGAGAATTTGGTAGGCCTACCTCTAACAAACAATTTGATAATAGCAAGATTTGACTTGAACCTACCATAAAAAAATTGAAATAAAAGGATGGACTTGATACTAGGTCATGAATGTATGTCTTGTTAAAACAAGAAATTAACTCCCTTCATTTGATGATGGTCCAATTCAGACTAACACATACAGTAACCTTGTACTTTTTGTCGTTCTATAATTCTGGCAAAGAAAAAGTAGTTGTTCTGAGAGTGAAAAGACCAAAAACCAAAAGGAAATGAAGCAGTTTAACTTTAAAGTCTGAACTCATACTGAACGAGAATGGACCTCAAATTGCTTGTGAGCATGAAAGGTAGAGATCAACCAAGCGGAGCCCAGTTAGTTTAGAGCAGAAAGATTTATTTTGGGCCTAGTTTATAGATGATCTCCACATTTTGCCACACCACCCATGAGGGAATGACCCAACCCCAGAGGGAGAATATGCTGTTGGATATCTAAAATTCTTTCATGTATGTGACAGTTTAGACATCAGATCAAAAACCATTGTAGCTGTAGTAGATGTTTTCAAGGTAGGCCCTAGTCTGTCTCTGTGTCTCTGTCTGCGTGCATAACAAATAACTAGAAAGGAGCTTTTGGTCGTAGGGGATGATGGATGATGTATGGTCTATAGATAGGAGGCTGAGATTATTAAAGCTCCAACAACCACAGATTATTATCTGTCCACACCCATAAGTGGACCCCAGAAATCTCAACTTCTTAGCCATCACTCCATTATTTGGCAACTCGAAATGATTTTTTCTTAAATGGTCAGGCTAGGTTCGGATTCAGACACTAAACCTGTTGTTACAGCAACTATATCCAAACTCATCCAGTTACAATCAAGCTTTGATCCCCAAATCCCAAAATATATTTTCTTTTCCTACTTGGAGTCCTGACTCGACCATACGGATTTTTTTTGTGTTGTTCGGAGTTTGATCCCAAACTTTCCCCGTATAAAAACTGATACATTTACGAAAAATTTCATTCTTATGATCTCTCATAAATTCAAACCCAGAGCAAGCCACTTGTTCTTTGTGCAAACATCAAAGGTAAACCATAAAATTCTTTTAATCAATGCTAAAACCCTCTCCATCCTTTTTTTTTTCCGGTGGGTTACAAAACCCACTTCTAAAATTTCAACTACCTGTCAACTTTTTTTTCCCTATTTTTGGGTTGTTGGTGATTATACAACTGCGGTTAGTGAGAGAAACAGTGTGAGATCCTCCGTGCAAATACGACAGCAAGGCAAAAGAGAGACTGAAATGAGAATTAAAACGAAGTATCTATCTGCTGCTTGATAACATGGAGGAAAAATAATAATTCATTACAAGTAACCAAATTACACTACAAAACTCAAGAGAGGCCCAAGAGTTGTTACAAATTCAAGAATATTCATAAACCCAACTCTCTCTTTGATCCAGGTTTGCTCAACTGACCCCTTACAAGCAACAGAAGAAAAATTAATCTCAAGTCTTTTATTGAAACAAAAGAGGCCAATTTATGAAACAAGTCTCCCGAGATGGCCTCGCTGTGGTATTCTCTAACCCAAACCCCAAATGCCCATTTAACAAGATACCATGAGTGAATATTTATCCACCTAGCTAACTTGTTTGGCAGCTGCAATAACAGCCTCTGCAGTAATACCAAACTCCTTGTATATTTTACTTGCTGGTGCACTTGCTCCAAACCGGTCAATTCCAATAGCCTTGCCTTTGGGTCCAACAAGCTTCTCCCATCCAAATGTTGATCCAGCTTCAATGCTAACCCTAGCTGTTACAGCTGCTGGCAAAACACTTTCCTTGTAGGCATCTGATTGCTCGTCAAAAAGCTCCCATGAAACAAAGGAGACAACTCTTACAGCCTTGCCCTCCTTCCTAAGTTCCTCGGCAGCTTTAGCAGCAATTTCCAACTCTGAACCAGTACCAATCAAGATAACATCAGGCTTGTTACCTGAGGAGTTATCTGAAATGATGTAGCCACCCTTTTCAACTCCCTCAATGGAGGTTCCAGGGAGTTGGGGAAGCTTTTGCCTGGAGAGGGCAAGGATAGAGGGTCTCTTCCTGTTGAGGACAGCAACCTTGTATGCACCAGCGGTTTCATTTCCATCAGCTGGGCGGAGCATCAGAATGTTGGGCATTGCACGGAAGCTGGCCAAGTGCTCAATTGGTTGATGGGTTGGCCCATCTTCTCCAAGACCAATGGAATCGTGTGTCATGACATAGATGACTCCAGCCTCAGACAAAGCAGAAATCCTTATGGCAGCTCTCATGTAATCAGTGAAAACAAAGAAAGTAGCACAGTAGGGAATCAGACCAGGACTGTGAAGTGCAATGCCATTGCAGATGGCTCCCATTCCATGCTCTCTGACACCGAACCTGACATTTCGTTCCTCAGGGGTGTCCTTTTGGAAGTCCCCAAACATTTTCAACAAGGTCATGTTGGAAGAGGCAAGATCTGCACTGCCACCAAGAAGACCTGGGATCACTTTTGCAAGTGCATTTAGATTTTGCTGAGATAGATTTCTGGTGGCATCTGCTGGGCTCTCTGGAGTGTATGTCTGCAACATTGTAATTTAAAATAAATAAATAAATGAATGAAAAAGATGACCTTTATTCCAAATGCAATATCTACTATCATTATTTTGCACAAGCACTTTTCTAAAAACTTGCAAATAGGACATGGCAATTCTACACTGCTGATAATGCGCTCTGAATTGAAGCTTGAAGGAGTTTATTGAGTGCACAAAATTGAGGAACATCATGCCTAGTATCCATAATTTATTGCAGAATGACCAGCTCAAGTCAATGCTGATGCAAAAATAGAATCACCAAAGAGGTCCTTAAGGTAAGATCAAAAGCAAAAACCATTGTCAAAATTTTACTTACAGGAAGTGCTTTCTCCCAACCAGCAGGTAGTTCACCACTAATGATAGACTTCAACTCCGCAGCTTCTTCGCTGTACTTCTTCTCATACTCGGCATACTTGGCATTCCATTCGGCTTCAAGAGCAGCACCAGTTGGAATGTGGCGGCTCCAGTGCCTAAGAAAATGCCAGACAGTTTATAAAGATCAAATCAACTCAAGTAGCATGATGAAAAGATGGAAACATAATCTTGGTTTACTTACTGCCTAACATCCTCTGGAACATGGAAAGGCTCAAATGGCCATCCAAGGTTCTGCCTGGTAGCATCAACTTCCTTGGCACCCAATGCACTCCCATGAACACTGTATGAATTTGATTTGTTTGGAGATCCATAACCAATGGTTGTAGTCACCTTCAGAGAAAATTAAAAGTGCAGCAAGTTTAATGTATAGAATATTTTTAACAGCAATTTCAATCCTGCCTCCAATGTATCGCTATAATGATCTATCAGTAGCAAATCAGAAGACTTCCTGTGTAATATTATAATCCTAACCAATTACTTTGCTATCTCACTTCAATACAAACCACAAGAGATGAAATGTCTAACCTTGATCAAAGTAGGTTTGTCTTTCACGGCCTTAGCCTCCTTGATGGCAGCACGAATCTCATCATATCCAGTGTTTCCGTTCTTCACCCAGATAACGTGCCACCCAAGACCCTCAAAACGTTTGTCGACATTCTCTGTGAATGCGATCTCAGTGTCACCATCGATAGAGATATGGTTGTCGTCATAGAAAGCAATCAGCTTTCCAAGCCCCCAATGTGCAGCCAATGAGCAAGCCTCGTTTGAAATACCCTCCATTTGACAACCATCTCCCAATATAGCATATCTAGATGAAAACCAACACAAAGACAATGTAGCCATATAAGACAAGGCTCAATAAGTTTGCACGGAGAACACTAAAAAGATTTGAGATTGAGACAATTATCATACGTGTAGTGGTCAACAATCTCACTGTCCGGTTTGTTGAAGCGAGCAGCCAAGTGCTTCTCTGCAAGTGCCAAACCAACAGCATTGGCCACACCCTGCCCAAGAGGACCTACAGAAGAAAATATAAAGTTTTACTTCTGAATTTTCACAAGTACATATAAATTTGCAAATAATGGATAAAAATGTTCAAAATTATTTGAAACTTGTAATCTACTAATCTTACCAGTTGTGACTTCAACACCAGGAGTCTCAAAGTTCTCAGGATGTCCAGGAGTTCTGCTTGCCCATTGACGGAAACTCTTCAAGTCTTCTTCCTATTAAAATCAAAAGCTCAATGAACATTGACAGTAGCATAGTTTAGGCCCATTTGTATAATTCAAGCCTGGCCTCGTACATGCAACAGTATATTAATATGCTTGAAAACCACTCAATAGCATAAAAAAAACATCTATACATCCAGAAATGGTACTACAAAATGTTAGGTTCTTTTTGGTTGCTTGATTAAAAAAAATCCAGATCCATTTCTCTCGAAAAACACACAACAAAAACACCCTGACAAAGCCGAAACCCAAATCAAAAAAACATTTTTTTTAAAAAAAAGAGTAGAATGAAAGTACTAACCTTGACACTATCATAACCAGCAAGGTGAAGCAGAGCATACTGTAACATACAGCCATGACCAGCAGACAAAACAAACCGATCACGATTGAACCAATATGGGTTCTTCGGATTATACCTCATAACCTCATCGTACAAAATATGACCCATCGGAGCACACCCCATAGGCAAACCGGGGTGACCCGAATTAGCCTTTTCAACAGCATCGATAGCAAGAAATCTAATCGTATTAATCGACTTCTCCACCAATGAAGTCTCTGTCGTCGCATCCAGTGTCTCCACTGCCGCAGCCCTTACTTGGCGGGAAGACACGCGGCGGCGGCGGTTAGTGGTGGTGGTGGTGGCGCGTGAGGCTGTAGATGTAGTGGATTTGAGACCGGAGAAAGCAGGAAGGGAGACAAGAGAGAGGTGGCTGTCACGGCGTTGGTCAGTGGCATGATGAGAGGTGGCTCTAGCCAAAAGGGCTTGAGATAGAGTTAGAGAAGAAGTGGAAGCCATTCTTGAATTCTGAAACTCTCTGTCTCTCTCTGGTGTTTGTTGGTTCGGTTGATATTTTTGAGAGAGCTAGATTATTTTAGATGGAAAAAGGCCAAGGGACAACAACCTTTGTTTAGAATAAAATATTGTTTGATCCCTGATGTATACATTAATTATATTTTAATCATTTAGGTTTGAAAAAAGTATAATTTAATCCCTTGAATCTTATTAGACATTGTCTTATTAAAATATGTTAATTGTCTCTATATCTCCACCTATTGGTTTTTCTTCAAAAATTTAAAATTATCAAAGGATACAATCGGCTTTGCTTAACAACATTTGTATCAATAGGGCAAGCAGTCAACAAGAATTAATGACTAATCTATGTGTATTAAAACATGAAGAAATAATTCATAATTGAATACAAACTACAAGGACTAATTAAGTAATTTACTCTTTCCTTATCATTGGACTTCTCGCATCTATAAAGAGACGACTAGTTTTCTAATCTCTTAACGTTAGATGTGGAGGTTGGTGTATCTAGACCGATGAGTGTGGGTAGGAAACGGAAACCTTACTGCCTTTCATTTTTCCCCTTTTCTTCACCGTTGGATTATAGAGATGGAGGGAGAGAGACAATCTATGCCATTGACTATGGGTAGGAGTTTGGAAAATGCTCTACCTTTCGTTTTTTTTTTGCTGAATAAAATATTTAGGAAAAAAAATTATTGATTTTTATAAACATAGTTTTTTTTTTTTCAGGAGGATTGTGGATGCTTGGATTAGTTTTTGTATATTAATATTAAATTCATCTTTAAAGTTCAACTAGAGGCATGTTGTTATTTTTATTTTTTTGAAAAAGCATGTAATCTGTTTTAGAATTAAGAGATTTATAACAAAATTATTTCTCGTGACCTTGACTTGCTAAAGTTTTTTTTTTTTTTTAATCAAACCGATAAAAGGCAATTCATTATGATCCATTATTTTGAAATAAAATACATCAAATTTAATGATTTTTTTAAATGCGTAATTAACAAAGAAAGTTCTAGATATATTTGAAGAATAGTAATTATCTGTTTGTATAATTTATTCAGTGTAATTCACTATTGATTTGTGTAAATACTAAGAAAAATAACATAGAATGTTATTTGTCATGTGTCTTCCTAACTTTTTAAAATTTATTTTTGGACGGTCTTAAGACTTCAAAATATCAATTTCTACCGAATCAAAACATATTCCAACAACGTTATTAATTCCAATCATAGTTATTTTATATCTTAATTGAATCAGATAATTGATCAAAATCAATTGAAACTATTTATTATATTGACTGAAACTTGACGATTTTTACTTGTTAACTTATCTATCTTCACCTCAAACTATTTTTAAAAGCAGATCGTAGAGCAATTTTGTTGAAGGGATCTATTATCCACGGTTTTTTTAAATTAAATTATGGAAGAAACAATAAAGAAAATAGTGCAAATTAATAAAAAATATTTTTTAATAAACCTCTAGAATTAAGTGGTTAATTTACCCTTAGATTAAAGTGTTTTATCACAATAAGTCAAACTTTAGGAAACAAATATATTATCAAGATTAGAAAAGAAGAGAAACAGATGAACTGCAATGAAAATATACAAGCGAAAATCATTAGGACAAAAATAGTATCCAACGGAGAAAAAATTCTATAGGATAAAAATAGTATTCAACAGATAAAATTTTCTACAGCTAAAAAAGGAAGAGACTACTAACAAGAGAAGAGAAAAACATAAATAGTCTACTAAGGCAAGGAGCTTCGACTTGCTAAAGCTTGAGTAAATTATAAATTAGTTCATCTTGTTTGAAAAAATGAATTAATTAATTTTTTCGATTTTAAAACTAATCATTTAATCTTTAAAATCAGTATTAATAATGACTAATTAATAATTTTTATTTTTTTGCTCTCATCAATTTTTTTCATATTTTTTTCTTATATTTATTCCTTTTTTATTTTTAAAATAAAAAATCAAAATAAATTAAAAATAATAACAAAATAAATAATTAGTTTTTAAACCAAAGATATTAATAAATTAAAATTAATCATAACTAATTAATACTTATGAAGTCCTCTACCAATACACTTACTTCTCGATTGCATTCCGAGATAAATCTTCCGCCAATGCATCCTCCGTTTATTAGAACTCCTCGGTCGAATCTTTTCTTTCTTAATTATTGCAAAGTTTTGGAAAAATCCAATTTGAAGACTGTGTTTGCATCAAATTGATAAATTCAAGAATACATAAATAATTTGCAAATTCAACTCTATAAACATTATATTTAGACAATTCAATTCAACTATTTTTGTATGTTAACAGAACTCCATTTATTACATTAAAACATGCTGAGTTAAAAAATATTAGTCATCTGCTATAAAATTTTGATTATTACGTTTAGTTTTAATTTTTAAAAGAATTAAAAAAATTAAACAAATCAAGAGATTTACAAGTTAGTTTTTTTTTCTAACTTTTTTCTAATTGTGCTATTATATTTATTTAACCATATCAAAGTGAGAAGTGAGAATCAAGAAGAGAGAATACTATATCTTATCACGATATGGACCAACTTTTTATATTAAAAATATAGAATTTCATGACATGCATGGATGAAAATTGGGACGCTGCTGGATATGTAATATTTATACTTCTTTTCTCAACGATTCGTTTCATTTTCCCCAAAAAAAAAAAAAAAAAAAAGATTCAATCAAATAAAAAATTTCAAGTTCTTTTAATAATTTTTTTAATTGAATCTTTATGTTAAAATAAACTCGTAAAGCAGATGCACCGTGCTGGTTTTTTTAACATGACTTTGGTTTCTCCGAACAGCATAACTGTATTTTCGTCTTTTAGTGTTGTGTAGCACTAGCAACGCTCTATACATATTATAAATTAAGCACTGTTAAAAAGAAAATGAACAAGGAAAGCCTTAATGCTACCTAGGCTTTAATTATCAGGCCAGCTACGTGGATATCAACGTTGGGTTGCACTTTTAAAATTTAAAATTATATTAATTAGATACTCGCGTCAGGTTGTGATAATATAATCGTTACATGTGTAGTGTTAACGATTATATAGTATAACGCGAATAAAAGTTTTAGTTACAGTGAATAATATAAATCGAATTTATATATTGAACAAAATTGTTTGATTTATATATATATTTATTAACAAAATATTTAATAATATTAGCATAAAAATTTATATTTGAATAATTGAAAAGTTTTTTTAAAACGAGTGTCTAACTTATTTTATTTTTTAAAAAATTAGACTATAAAAAAATAAAAAATAAATAATTAATATTATATGTGCGGATATATAATTAATTTATAATAAAACTCATATATATATATATACTTAGATTCGGAGCATATATAATAAATAAATAAATAAATATATAAAAAAACTCACCTAAATTGTATGAAATACATTGAAGTCAATAAATTAAAATTAATATTACAAAATAATTGGTTCGGATAAATTTTGAATAAATATATATAAAAAGCTAAATAAAACTTGTTAATTTTTTTAAAAAATTGGGTCAAACTATCTAAAACATATATATATATAATCAAAATTTATAAATTATAATAATATATTTTAAAAAAATAAAACACTGACCTTATAAAATTGTATTTCAAAATTTATATATATTAAAAAATCAAATTTATTAATAAATAAAATTTTATCAAAAAATTAATTCAATGAGAATTTTAATAAGAAACATATAATTGAAGAAAGAATCCATAAAACAATTTAAGTTCTTTTTATAATTTTTTTATTGAATCTTTATGTTAAAATAAACTCGTAAAGCGGATGTACCGTGCTTGTTTTTTTGACATGACTCTGGTTTCTCCGAACAGCATAACTGTATTTTCGTCTTTTAGTGTTGTGTAGCAACTAGCAAGGTTTTATACATGTTATAAATTAAGCACTGTTAGAAAGAAAATGAAAAAGTAAAGCCTTAATGCTACTTATGCTTTAATGATCAGGCCAGCTACGTGGATATCTACGTTGGGTTGCACTTTTAAAATTATACAAGTTAGATATTCATACTATGCTGCGCTCATATCACTATTACATATATAGTATTAATAATTTTTATGGTATATTGCGAATATAAGTTTTAGTTCTAATGAATAATATAAATCAAATCTATATATTGAGCAAAATTGTTTGATTTATATATATATTTATTAATAAAATATTTAATAATATTAGCATAAAAATTTGTATTTGAATAATTAAAAGGTTTTTAAAAAAAGTATTTAACTTATTTTATTTTTAAAAAATTAGAATATGAAAAAATAAAAAATTGATATTATGTATGCAGATATATAATTAATTTTTAATAAAACTATTATATATATACTTAGATTCGGAGCATATATATAATAAATAAATAAAATTAAGCACTCGTTAAAAAGAAAATGAAAAAGGAAAGCCTTAATGCTACTTATGCTTTAACTATCAAGCCAGCTATGTGGATATCTACGTTGGTTGCACTTTTAAAATTACACTAGTTAAATACCCGTACTACGTTGTGATCATACAACCGTTACATATGTAGTGTTAACGATTTATATGATATAATACGAATAGAAGTTTTAGTTCTAATGAATAATATAAATCGAATCTATATATTGAACAAAATCGTTTGATTTATATGTATATTTATTAACAAAATATTTAATAATATTAGCATAAAATTTGTATTTGAATAATTGAAAGGTTCTTTTAAAAAAGTATCTAACTTATTTTATTTTAAAAAAATTAGAATATGAAAAAATAAAAAATAAATAATTGATATTATATATGCAGCTATATAATTAATTTCTAATAAAACTAATATATATATACACACACACACACTTAGATTCAAAGCATACATATAATAAATAAATAAATATACAAAAAACCACCTAAATTGTATAAAATATATTGAAGTCAATAAATTAAAATTAACACTACAACAAAATTGGTTACGATAAATTTTGAATAAATATATATAAAAAAGTAAATAAAACTTGTTAATTTTTTAAATTGAGTCAAACTATCTAAAACATACTTATCTCTCTCTCTCTCTCTCTCTCTCTCTCTTTCTCTATATATATATATAATCGGAATTTATAAATTATAATAATATATTTAAAAAAAAAACACCAACGTTCTAAAATTGTATTCCAAAATTCATATACATTAAAAAACCAAATTTATGAACAAATAAAATTATATCAAAAAATTAATTCGATGAGACTTTTAATAAAAAACATATAATTGAAAAAAGAATTTATAAACAATAAGAGTAATATAATCGGATATATATGTTCAAACTAAAATCTTTAAAAATATTATATGTAGTCTATCATATTCAAACTGTACGTAAACTAAAAAAAATAATGATTTATTTTTTATTTTTTTCACACCTAATTTCATGACAATATGTATATATACACATAAAAGGTCAAGTTGACTAAATTGTATGAAATATATAGAAATCAATAGATTAAATAAAAACTACAGTAAAATTGATTTTGATAAATTTCGAATAAATATATATATATATAAAAAAACAAATAAAAGTTATGAATTTTTTTAACCGATTATTGATTTTTTTAAAAAAAATCAAGCGAAACTATCTAAAACATACTCTCTCTCTCTCTCTCTCTCTCTCTCTCTATCTATATATATATAATCAGAATTTATAAATTATAATAAAATATTTTAAAAAATAAAATATGCATTTGAAAAGCTTTTAAAAAATTTATTTTATAAATTATAATAATATATTTTAAAAAATAAAACGTTCTAAAATTTTATTCCAAAATTCATATATTAAAAAATTAAATTTATTAACAAATAAAATTATATCAAAAAATTAATTCAGTGGGAATTATAATAAGAAAAAAATATTTGAAGAAATAAATTTTAAACATTACAAGTAATATAATCGGATATATATATATTTAAACTAAAATCTTAAAAAATATCATATATATTCTATCATCTTCAAATTGTACATAAAACTAAAAAAATAAAATTTATTTTCTATATTTTTCACATCTAATTTCAAGATACACACAAAGATATATATATATATATATATATATATAAAGGCCAAGCTCAGGCTCGCACCTGGGTTTTTTTTTTTTTTTTTAAAAAAAAAAGGGTCAAGCACTGTGCTGCAAGATAGGCCAGCGCACTTTGGGCTGCAAGTGCAGGCTCGCGAGCAAGCCTTGGTTGCCTTTCAAGTTTCAACCTAAAACACACACACACACACACACACACACACAAATGCTACAAATGCTACAGTAAATGAATAGCGACGATCCTAGAGTTTTTAGTTATTTTAGTAATGTGAAATATATTTAATTTAGATTGATGTATAAATTAATTTCAATTGTCAAATACAAAAATTGCATTTGAAATTAGATTCAATTTGGAATAACTTTTGCAAATTGATTTAAGTTATTTTATTTTAAAAAATCATAAATATATTTGATTACAAAAAACATTTGATTTAAACAAATATCAGTACATAAATTGAGTTAAAATTTTGTTTAAATCAAAAGTAAAATAGTTTTTGTTAACTTATTGATTCTAACTTATACTATCTTTTTACTTGAAAAAAAAAGATGTTTTGAGCTATTTTTTCATCAAACATGCTTATAATTTAATTATTTTTATTTTAAGTTAATTATCAAGACAATTTTTTAAATTTTTATTTTAATTTAATTATCAAAACAATTTTTAAATCATGATTTAAAATCAAAAGTTATTGATTTTAAACATCGTGATCCAAACACAAAAAAAAAAAAGGAAATTAATAGTTTATACTCAGTAACGAAAATTAGTAGTTTATACTCGGTGTAGCCAGAGGAGGAGGAGGACGCCTTGTTTTATTTAACAAACCTTATCTTTCAAAACAAAAACTACCATATCTTTCATTGGTGGTCTATTTATAGTTACCAAAAATTCAAACCAAAAGTGGAGTAAAAGGCCGAAGAGCATTTGGATTCTATTCCGTTCATTCTATTCCGGGACTCTGCTTACTGCTCCCAACAAACTAAAATCGCGGTGGCTCTTGGACAGTGGGCTGATTTGCGGGATGGTACCGTAAGAAGCAACCAAAAAGCATTCAACGGTCAATCACAAAACGAAAAACAGGATGTTAGGAGCACTTAACTATTATTATTATCTTTATCAAATGAAGTTGCCTTTGTTATATGAGAAGGTTTTCACATCATGAATATGAATTTTATAAAATTTAGTAATGAAATGATAATTATAAATATATATTAATTAATGACTAATCAATTATATGATCACATGGTATTTAGTAAAATAACCTTAATAGCAAATTAAATGTTTCTAATATCATTCAAATAAAAAAAAAAGAAATTTGACGAGAATAACACAACCTGATGATTTTCCATGCAATTCTAATAGTTTAGTTTGATTAAATAATTTTTCACGGCAAGTAAATTGAATTGGTTACGAGAAGGAAATGCTTCATTTTGGAATCGAAATAGTCAAAGTATAATTCTGTTTTATTTTTGGTTAAGATACCATAAGCCATCTGCCCTTTTGCAAGGCACGGACTTCAATAGTACCTCACGGGGATAAGGCCACGTGACCTTTAGAGGTTAGGTTCCCGCAGAAAGTAGATTTGTTTCTTCCGTTAGAAGGAAGAGAAAAAACACACGCAAATATTCCATTTGAGATGTAAATGGTTTGTTTAAGATCCAATTAAGAAGAAATTCAATTTTAACAAGCGAAAGTTGACCCAAAAAATAGCCTTATGATTAAAAAATTAAAAATCACAATACTACATGTTCATACTTAAATACTATAAAATACGAATAATAAAAGTCTATAATAACCATCATTTGAATACAATATCATGCCACAATGTCTTTTAAAATCATTAGATTAAATAAAATAGAAGGTATTTTAATAAAATAACATATAAGTACAAATTTTTTTTTCAATCTAGATAAAATCTCTTATTGTTTTTAAATAATCTTAAAAATACATCTTCACACTATTAATCTATTACCTTTATATAAATAAATTCTCATAAATTTTAATCATAAAATTCAAACTCAAAAAATGCTAAAGCATAAACGCTGTAGGATCCTGCAGAACAAACACAAAAGATTCATATAAAGTGTGTTGCATAACATCATTGAATGCACAACTTTTCTCATATTTTAATTAAGAAAAATCAAATAAATTCCACAATGTCCAAGGCTGGGGGTTGTTGTACCCAAAAAAAAAAAAAAAAGAGCCTAGGGGTTGTTGGGCATAAAAAGAGATGGTTCGGTGGATGGTATCTAGAATAGCAAGTAAATTGGTTTGTTTGTAATTTTTGTTCAAAATTTGGTCAGAGAATCTTGTCATTCAACGTAAGCAAGCGCAGTATGATTCGTCTACAATTTGGTAAGTACATAAACAGATCGGCATGCCCAACAAATATGGCGCAACCTTATTGGATACGATAATTTACTCATACTTCTTAGTCACATGCTCACCAACCAAATTGTATATTAAATTCCTCTTATTTCTCGGTGCAAAGATTTGAAGTTCAACTGCACTTTCAAAACGATCAATGCATATTTATTTCTAGCTTAAGCTTTCGTTTCAACCTGAAACACAGTTAAACTGCGGAGGATTGTGAAGTGTAGACTGCCACAGAATCTTTAATTTGGTAAGCAGGTTGTATTAATAAATAATTAGAAAAGTAAGCTTGCTTGATTGATCTGCCTAATTCGTACATTCTTCTGTCCTAATCACATCAAATTAGAAAAATAAATATCGGTAAAAGCCTCCAACTTGAGATATCCCACCTCCGTCTCTCTATTCGTGCCTTACCTTTTTTAAAAGTAAAATTAAAACCGTTGACTTATTAACGATCAGATCACACCAATCTTGAATAATACTAGAACAAGTGATTATTATTCTGACTGCAGGAACACAGAGTCACTGTGAATTGAGACTTGTAATTCTTAGCCCACAAGATGCATCAACAAAGCATTAAAAAATCTCAAGTAGTATCAGACAGAGATCCTGTTAGCTTGTAAAAATCTGATCTTGCAGAAAACCAACAGTAACATTAAACGAGAATAGCCAGGTTTCAGTTCAGGAAGTGAGTCCATACGATTATCAAAACTAGAGTTGACTTGATGAGAACCACTTATGTTTCATGATATGATGCTAAAGAAGTCTCACTGCATAGTTGCTGGGTTCTCAGTAATGCAAAGATATGAGGGAATCAAGATTAGAACAATTCATCACTTCTCAATTCTACTTCTAAACTCAGTAAATTTACAATTTAATTGATACATCTATGCATGCTGTGTTTCATTTCCTAAAAAAAAAAAAGAAAAAAGAAAAAACTGCAGCTGTATATAGTCCCTGTAAATATTTTACACCAGCCTACTACGTTTACAGTTTGAAGCAGAATTTCGGATCCCTCTACTAGTCACAGAGTAAGATGCTGCTGCTGGTCTAAGGTAAGGTGACTTGTCAATATATGCATATCGTTCATTTCCATTCCAGTACAAAATGACCCGATTAGTGCAACAGCGTGACCAGCTATCACCTACTCAGCATCATGAAACAAACAAAGTTAAGAAACCAAATTGACCGGGGAAATGGACTAAAAATAAATAGAAAAACAAGAAACGACATGGCAAGAACTTCAGCAAACATGCGAAGAACAAGTTGGGAGCTGATGGAGATTATGCTTACCCAATGAAAATGATAATTGAAAGGAACCTTCCATAAACTTAGTGGTCACTTGATTCAATAAAACCACCTTGAAGAGCAAAGAAGTCCTGAATCAGTGACAGAAGGAGAACAAAGGACAAACCAAAATTTGAGACATAAACCTGAGGCATGACAGCCACATAAATGGCATTATTCTTTTTCTAAAGGAAACGTGCAACATAAAGATTATGAGATAAGTGGTAAGCACATTCAAAATATACTGAAACCAACACAATTCCAAAAACTTTTCTCAAATCTGGCAAGCAATGTTTGCATATCAGTTTTGAGATTCTGAAAGGGGAGAGGGAGAAGAGGATGGAAAGAAATCTGAAATATAACAAATGAATATTTGTTACCGCTAAACTGCACACTTTTGCAAGCTTCATCAGCTTTAATGCCATATCACCAAGTATTCGGGTCCTGAGGGCCAGGTCTTCAAAACCTTGACGGAAATGGAAAGCAATGCTATCAATGATGACAATCTTAACCTGTTAAAACATTGAATTATCAAATGGTGATCATTGGAATCCACTAAATGATAAGTTGGCCATATAGCTATTAGTTCATGCAAAGAAAAGCAATAAGAGAACTGGAAAGCTAGTTGTCAAATCATAAACCAAAGAGAAGTGCTTCTATAAACAATTAAAGTAGGAGTATCCATAATTATGGAAAACCATTCAGAAGCAGACTGCAGCATCGCATGGAAAAAGACAACCCAGACAAGAAGCAATTGAGACACTTCTCATTTCTAACTATATCACTTACATCTTTGTGATATGAAATGAACTCTTCCAAGTAGTTTATCAGGGCAATTTGTTCTGTATAACTGCAGATGCGGAAAAAGTATATGTTTTGCAGGACATCCTTGCCCTGAATTTCTACTGGGCAGGATAAGTCCTCTACACATGCTTCAGCAATTTCTTGAGCACGCTCTGCCATAAAACTGCCTTCTGTATCTAAGCATGACATAGGTTCAACAAATCAATGACTTCAAGATAACAAACATCTATTCATAAAGCAATAAGAAATCCACCAAATGTCGTGAACTACCTATATAAATTGCCTTTCCTCCTAGGCCACCACAATAAGGTGGCATTTGAACATTGACAGCAAGTTGGATCCTGTGAATTCAAATATAAACTGTGCTTCTCCAACAAAGGTGCAATGAGCATATAAAGATGAGAAAATAATGAGAGAAGAAAAGGATAAAATCGCACACCCCAACTGTGTTTTACCAATGCCTGGTACTCCACCTACAAACAACAGGAAACAAAAATAAATAAAAATAAAAATAAAATACAAGAAAATAAAAAAAATCCTGAAAATACAAAATTCATGAACTATTGTTGCTCGAACAATTTATATATTCAGAAACTAATAGCTTCATTAACTTAGAAAAGAGGAAACGGATGACGGACCGATTTCTGTAACTTGTTTGCAACTTATTCCTCCACCTAGGATGTCATCCAAATCCACACAAGATGTGGTAATGTGTGTCATCAAAGACCTCTCTTCATGAAGCAGATCCCAAGCATTTTGTGGATCTGTAATCACAAAAAGACTACATTCAAGTTTTATGAACACAAGTGGTGAGCTGATTGCATTCATTTAAATCATATAGGAAATATGAAAACGGGCAGAGGGTATCCAATAACCATTATCCTGCGCTTACTGGAACTGAAGCTGATTCATTTTACACATACAGTTCTGGGTTCAGGGTTTATATGTTAATATATAGCATATCATAACACAACAGAGAAAATTGTGATCATTTCCTTCCATTAAGTTTTAAGAAGTAACCAAACATTAAAATAGAAGTTTATAATTAAATTTAATGCGCATATATGTGCCTTTAGCAAAGGTTAACAACTTTCAACTGTAAATCAGTTTTGTATGCACAAAAAGTCACATTGTTACACTTGCACGATGCATTGCAAAGTATCAAGTCTAGTGTCTAGCAAGCAAAAGTGACAATTGGCAGAATAGTTTCGTAGCCAAGTATATCACCAGCTAATAGCTGTCACGGCATTACAAATCTCGTATTGGCTTTCTTAGTACTAATAACAAACCCAAGAGAAGTCGTACATGACACAAGACCAAAATCAAAATAAATTACCAACTGCAATCCAGTCTTTGGGATTGTGGCTTTGTTTTTGTTGTTGCTGTTCTTGTTGTACAATAGCATTGTTTCCATCCATCACACTACCACGTGATGATGCTACCTTCAAAATTTCAAGTGCTGCACTCTCTGAAATTTCTAAATCTGTTCAAGCATAAACAAAGTAAGAAAAATGAAGCCACATCACAACAAAGAAACAAGAAAACAAAACAAACAGAAAGGGGAACAGCGACGGAATCCCCGGAAACAAGTGGCATAGATGCAAGAATTAAAACATTTCCAGCAACCCCATGATGAAAAAAAATAAATATTCCACTTAAAGAAAACAAACTCACGAAGGAACACATACTTCGAGTGATTATGCTTCTTGTGATATTACAACATAAACATCAAACTGAAACCCCATTCCCTTTATGAGACCTCGTGAAAAATTCATTATACACAAAACCCAATTACCAGGATTGATAAAAGAATAAACTATAGTGGTAAAAAGTTCTTCATTATTCAGATAGGAATAAAAACAAACAGTTGGTAGGTGCAAAAAGATAGTGAACAAAAAAGAAGGAATAGAGAAGCATGACAAATAGCTAGTGACTGGAAGAAAACTATGGTGCTAAGGAATGAATTTACCAGAAGCAAGCTCTGAAGGGAAGTTAGAAGCAAGTGAAGCAACGTAAGTGTTGCCTGCCAGTACACCTTTCCTTCCTTCTCTGCTTTATTGATATCGGTTCAGTATATCGAAAATGATACACTTCTCGTTCCAAAAAACATAAGATCTATAAATTGTTTTTATAATAGATATTATATGTTAAAAAAAAAAAAAAAAACTCAATTCCACTGCTAGGATATCTAATAATTTTTCGAAATTTCGAAGGCAAGAAGAAGTTTCACCCCTTTTAAAATGTTTAACATCATGATATATTCTTGAATGGCGTGTAGATGGAAACAATGCTATTGTACTTTCTCCGATACTCATAAAAGAAACTACAGCGTTAGAATTATGTTTTTTGAAATGCATTCTAGAAGAATAGAAACTAAAAATTAGAGGGAAAAAAAGGCGGATACAGAGAGAGAGAAGAATAACTAGTTTATAAAAAGTCATTCTTTTGTACTAAAATATTCAATCTTTAAAAGCATAATTACTTGTAAATATTTTTACATGTTATTATATTGAGGTAGTGCTTTTTTTAAAGATAAATTGCATTTATTGTGTTGTACATTACCTTTAGGAGCATTTTACCCGATATTAATATAATTTCAATTATAAGTAAAGCAAAATATGAAGTAATTAAGCCTGGTTAAAAGAAAACAATTCTAATAAAGTACGACTAGTTTGGTTACTCGACAATATCATGGATTGGATTGAGGGTATTTTATAGAAAAGAAGAAGAAGACCATCCTATTTCAATTTCATAAAGAAAACAGCCTGAACAAAACAATGTGTAACCAACCACTATTCGTTCAATATGTTATTAGTGGCGACCTTTGGTGTCTGATGTAGTTAATCATGTATTTTATATAGAGTATCGGTGTACAGTTTTAATTTCATACTTAGAATGGCAATGGAGAAGGAACGAGCACGTTTTTTGAACATACCATCTTCATTCTAAACCAAGAAGACATCCTCCCAGGATATTGGTGTATAGTTTAATTTTTTTATTTTTGTCTCATCCTGTTTAATTTTATTATCAAATTTTAAATTATAATAAAAAAATGATAGTTTATAAGAAAAATAAATTTCAAAAGTCAATGATCGTGGATTTTATATAGGGTATAATTATAATTTTAAAGATGGAGTGAGACAAACGGGACGGAAGCAAGCAAATACCACATACGTCCCATCTTCGTTCAAAATAAATACGGGACGGGATGCCCTATCTCATTCTTAATTTAACTCGAAAAATCCCTACATTAATCGAAGCTGGGCAGGACGAGACTCTATTAGGACGGGACGAATTGTCATCCTTGTACATACTGACACAAAACTACAATATATCTGCTTTGTGTAGTCTTACTCTTACCACAACAACACATTAATTAAACCATCAGTCATTTGTTTTTAAATTTGGAAAAATGAGAGAATGCAATGTAACTTCTAAATAATTTGGTTTATGATGTTCGATTCAAAATGCAGGCAAGTTCGCAAATAAAATTGACTTAGACAGGACTAGAATTAGACCATACAAAGTAAACGTTTTTATCCCGTGCTTGGTTCAGGGACATGATAAGAGTAGACGAAGTTTTTTGTAAAAAATCATTTTGGTCCTTTGAATTCTTCCACCAATTTATTTTAATCTCTATGTTTAAGTTTATTAGATGGCCCATATACGGTCTTAAGTTGCACCATAAAAAATGGGTATTGATGCACTCGGACAAATAAAAATGGATTGAACATGATTAGACTGGATGCTATAAATAAAACTAGACTAGATAAAGTATATGTTTTTTCTTGTGCGTGGCACACGGACATGACAAGTGGATGAAGTTTTCGCAAAAGTTCATTTTGGTATCTGAAATTTGTTTTAGTCTTTATATTTTATTTTCATGACATTTTTAGTCCTAGTTTAGAAAAATTTGGGGCCTCTAATTTTTTTTATATGTGCAGTTCAATCTCTAAATTAAGAATCATTTTGCAATTAAGACCCTAAATATAAAAATTTGTTTTAATAAAACATAGATAAACTTGATTAAACTTTAGTCAACTAAATTAAAAAATAAATGATTGATAAATAAATAATGAATAAAATAAGAATTTTAAAAACAATGATTTTGTCGGTAGTATTAATGAAATAAGAATTTTGATTTAAGTTAACTTTAGACAGAACAAAAATTAATATTTTCTTGTCTAATATGTACAACAAACACAATACATTATCATATTCAATATATGCGCCAAAACTTAATTCATAGCCTGGTTTTCAACGTGCTGATGCAAGACAAAGCATGTCAAGTGTAACTGGCACTTAAAACCCATAAGGATACGATAGAGCCATCCAAGTAGCAATTAAAGCCGGTCGAAGCCGAAGTCATCATGTGTATTGGTAACAAACACTATTATAGGCACACAAGCAGGCACATTTTTGTGCCTGTAAAGAGATTTGGCCGTGTAGATAAATAGTAAAAAATGAAAACCGTTTTTTTTTCAAGTGAAGGTGAATGACTAGCCTGTTTACGTGTAGAAAAGTAAAAACAATAGCCATTTTCTTAATTTGCGTAGCTCATCATTGAAAGACCACAAATTATCATAGTTGAATTACAAACATGTCTCTCAGCAAATGTAAGAGCAAATCTCTCTTCTTCTTTTTTTTTTTTTTTGACAAATCCATAGAAAAAAAAGAAAAACTGATCTGTTCAAGTATTTTTTATTCTCTAACACATCAAATAGCAAGTGAAACACCAAATTTGATTCGTTATAGCAAGTGATATACATCAAAATGCAAATAAATAAATAAAATAAAATAAAAATAGCACCCACTATATTTTGCAATGTAAACTTCTTTGACGAAGAACACTAAAAGACCTTAAAAACGACTGCTAACTCTTTAACTTTTTGGTACAATAATAGTACAGCTTGATAAATTTTTCTTAGAACGAAGTGGTACGCTGGTCTTCTAAAATCATTTTTCAGCCATCGTCTCATCTATTAAGACATTGGCCTGTCAAGTGTTATCTTCAACTATACAATCTACTTTGAACCTTTAAATAATTAAATAAAATTTATTAGTGCTGGTTTATCTAGGATTTGTTTACATCAAAAGTATGTCAAATCCAAGATTTAAAAAAAAAAAAAAAGTATTTACAGAGAAAGATTCCATACCGAGCGGTGCTTTGTCAATAACTTCAGTTTATTCACTTCTTTCCTAAGCTGCCTATAACATGTAGGGTAGCTTTTGCATCACAATCACAAGTCAAAGCCACTAATTGAAGCTCCCAAGATGAATTTAACCTTCAACAAATTTTTTTTTTTTTTTGTCAGTGTTAACAAACACAGAAGAAAAGTTCTATTTCTAGCATCCAATGTGTTGGGATAATAACGATATATTATGGTTGCCATGTGAGTTATGATCCAGAGCACCAGTACTTGTCAAAAGCTCAACTAAACACTGTGATAGGTGCAATAAAAGGCCCGAAAAGCTTTTTTTGTATGAATCGGTTATTAATTGGGATCGTAGCTGTATATTATAGTTTTAAAAAGATTTGTTGCATGATAAAAATATATTTTTTTATTTATTATTTTTTATATAAGTCTATATATTAATTATAGTTTTATTTTTTTGATACAATCTTATAAAAAAATATATTTTTAAAACAATTTTTAATTCTGAAATAATATTTCAATTTAAATTATTATAAGTTTTTTTTTTTTTTTAAATTTGTGCATAAAGAAAAACAAATCATGTTCAGTTAAGTATAACATTTATGAAAAATATATAAAAAAAATCAATCAAATATAAATTTTTAATTAAAAAATTAAAAAATTTTAAAATATCACGTCAACCTAGTAACCGAACTAAAATAGTTGAGATTGCCACGGACGCAGGTCGAGCTATAGCCAAACAGACCGAGCTGACCAAAATTGAATAATTGCAAGCATCCCAAAATAGGAATTTCTTATTCTCATGATGGTAATAAGAAGAAAAAGGAAAAAATAAATCTCTGTTGGCATGCAACAATCTCTCTGTGAGAAATTAGGGATATAATTTCTTTTTACTAGTGTACACTGGAGACACAAGCTGTCTAGGAAGTACAGATTGTACAGTGCTCTCGAGCTACCTAATGTCCGGATAAATTGATAAAAACTTCAGAATTAGCACCAACAATTAAAAATTAAACAATAGCCATCTTGCAAGGGGGAACGGAAGTCCTAGTTTCAATTTGCCCATCGGCTGTAATAACGTTATTGCCTGCTGATAATTATTTCCCAAATTTTTACTTCTATCCGCACAACATCTATACATCCCCCATCAGAAACTCAGTGCAGGTTGGGAAGGTCATCATTAAGCACTGAATGATCAGTCCAAGCATGTTGTTCTACTAGACAAGGACCAGTACAGAATTCGGAGACACAGGTATCATTGCTGCTGGAGTGATGCCTGAATTATAGATGTAAGTGACGGATGAATTCGAGCTGTTCTCAAGGAGCGAGCTTCACTTCTTCCTTCAGCATACTCCTCTCCTAGCGGCCACCTCGGCCTCAGATCATACTAATTCATACAGCAAACAAGTATTAGTCAAGGCAACAAGACACCTTTAAACATGCACAGCAAACCTTATCCTAAATAAGTCAAAAGACAAATAAAGTCATCATAGATGCTACTAATCATGCACAAAGTGGTCCTCATATGAATTTGCTCGTTAGAGGAGAGGTATGACTGCCGTTAGGGAGGGTATAGCCTCGGCCATAATTCTTCCATTTATAAAATGATTATGTTGCCAAAAAGAAATTAAGGATTTATTAGATAATTCCTAAAGAGAAACTTTGTGGCTTGAAATCCTTCTGATGCTTTATCCAAAGTGGAATCTTATAGATGAAAAAAGTAAAGAGTTTAAATGGACCTTTGATAGAGAAGGAACAAAGCTTGTCCTGCATCATATATAAAGCAAGAGCCCACTTCCATAAGTCTTAACATATTCAGAACCCAATCATATTCAGCAATAAATAAATAAAAATTACAGCAGCACTTGTGGGTGGTGATTGTTTGGAAGTAAAGTGATGAATGATAGCAACAAAATGGTGATGGCATAACTCCCTCCAAATTTTTGGGACCAATTCTATGGAAAATTGACATGATAGTGTTACATCATTATTCAATTATGTGATAGGAACAGCATGATGAAACAGAACAACAGTCGGTCATGAGTTTTAAGAACAAACCATATAATCTTCAGGTTCATCTGCAGGGGGTGGAGGATCAAATCTACCCATACAGAAGTGCTCAATGCCAGTCCAAGCTACCATTGCACCTGTAGAGACGAAAAACACCACCGTCAGTCACTTTCTTCTTTGAGATCAAAGTGTATTTAAAAACAATATTTGATTGTCATCTTCCAGATCTACATCATTCCAAAAACTGTCTCCGCTGGCTTTAGGTGCAGACCTATACATGCCAGAATGCCTCAGATTTCTGCAAAACAAGGGCTACCTTCATATGATTCAATTTGAATTTTCTCTTATCTCTCAGCAGCCAAAATGGAAAATTAACCTTATTGCAACAGTGAATACCAAAAGGAAGGTGCTGAAATTCATGCTCTGAAACCATGACAAGGCAGAGATGACTCATTCTCACTAGAAAGCTGCCTTTTAAGTTTTAACCCTTACATATACTCATTATGGACAGTCTTTCTAGGAGGGCTGAAGCTGTGTTGATTTAGGACATGTTATCAAAACACACGAGAACTTTTCATTAGCATGGAAAGAAATGAAGAATCTAAGGCCATTCAGGGGTTCCAAAAAATGACTTTTTTTAGGAAAGTATCAAAGTTGTATTGTCTTTAAAGGAGCAAAGATCTAATCTTCCTTTTTGCCCCAAGGTCATGTTTTACCACACTGCAATCCATTTAAAAGTTTGAGCAGAAGATCAGAGATAAAACTTACCATTATCAGTACAAAGCTTGGGAGGAGGACATACAAGTTGAAGGCTGTTCTTCTTCACAACATGATCAAGCCGAGCCCTGACATACTGATTGGATGCAACACCTCCAGAGACCACCTGTAGGAGGCGAGAATATAGATAGCTATCATCATTGATACAGCAGTAGTAAATCAAAAAGTTGCGATGCAGTAAACAGAATCTAAGATTGCGAGGCATGTCACCAAATGCTTTATTGAAGGCTCGATCTTCCTTGCCCATTCAATTGCCCGGTCACACCTTTCCTCTAAATGCAATACTGCAACTTGCTGCAAGAAACAGCCTTAGAGCGAGCAGAGCATATTTATACTAGACTTCATGAGAGATTAAAAACAAAATTAACCAAAGGAAGGTAACCTGAAAAGAAGCTGCAATGTCAGCTCGAGACCTTCTATCTTGGCTGCTTGCAGAAGAAATGGGAATTTCAGCATTGCTGCACATAACCTATACACACATCAATAGGCAGGAAAAAAATATATAAATTGGCTCACTGTTTGCATAGGCTACTTTATCCACACGAGGGAATCAGTTAGCAACGATAGTAGGTGTTTGATGTTTTTCTACATACATATTTTTGGATTCAATTGCCAGCCTCACTTGGGTCTTCAAACCAGCATACGAGAAGTTGCAATCTCTATGCTGTTTCATTGGAGTCTGAATAAAACAAATAAGGAACTTTGGAGACAGCTCGAAAACAGAAAAATGATATTCATGTATTTTACACACACACTGGCAAACAAGACAACAATGAGAAAATAAATAAATGAACAAATAAAAAGTAAAATAGATAACTAACTGAAAATCTGACTGATTCTGCATCACCCTCTCGAGCAAGTTCCTCTAGGGCTGGTCCACCACCTGTTCTCATGTCAAGACCAAGCCATTTTGCTGTCTTATCATAAGCCTCACCAATTGCATCATCAATTGTGGTCCCAAGCTGTATGTAGTGGCCAAGGTCATGAGCAAGAATAAGTAGATTGTGTCCTCCTGAGAAAACAGAAGCAACTGAAATAAATGGTTTGCATGCAGCTACAACAACTCTCTCAAGTGGGATGCCCGAAACTAAGCTAAAACCCATGGTATCAAGATGTTGATACTAACAGACACACATAAAGCAATCAATACAGATACAATGCAAGTTTGAATTGCATATATGCTGTCTTGACTCTTGCTTGCAAACACCACTACCAGAATCCAACTTAAACTTTTTTATGAATGATAATTGATCAGCTTTAACTGCACCAACTTAAGTCAGATGGGTCTCTATTAATGAGCAGAATTGAGTCATTGATAATCGCATATCAATTACTTTGTGCTATGCACATGTTCCTTTATGGTGGTCAGCATGAAGCTGCATGCTCACAGCTTTCAAATTACACAAATATGACCTGATTTGACAACTAAGGAAAGAACAAATTAAACAAACCTACTCAAACAATATTTCCAATTCCATTGATTTTGAATGACACATTTTTACCCTTAGCTGCTAAGATAAATACCAAGTTTTCTTAGTATCAATAAAATCCATCCACTTACAAACATGCTAACTTTAACATTCAGTCAGTGGATGAAAAGAAAGAATCAATAATCAAGTGATTGTCTTACCTGAAATAAGAAGGGCCATGAAAGGAAACTGCAACTGACGTTCACTTAATCTAGAATAAGAAACACAAATGATGCAGATAAACATTTTATATCGCAATTTTGAGTATGGATCAAAAGCATAGACACACCAGCCTCTTAATATCCAGCATAATATGGAAATAAACTTGTTCTTAGTATATTTTAGTACACATTGTTGTCTTGTGTGGCTTTTCTATTCTTTGCTCTTCAACCAATAGATTGTTTTTGCTTCCATACCTGGCTACTAGAGCATGAGCCTCCATGTGGTGGATGCCAACGATTGGTACATTGAAGCTACCAGCAATCTTACGAGCTTTCCGTACACCAACTGCATTAGAATGCATGAAGAAATTGCCCTAAGGAGCTAAATTTGTACTAGAAACAACAATATTGAATCGCAGTACAGAGGGATGCCAAGAATAGATCTCGTAGCACAGGATAAAACTGAAAGAAGAGTTATTTGTTCTCTCTTGCCTTAGCACAAATTTTGATGAAGAATCCAGTTAATAGCCAAGCTACCATAACACTAATAACCTTAATTGAGGTTCTTAGAACTATAACAATGCTCCTGTCTAGCTATTCAAGCAAATCAGCATGCATTGATATATGCCATAAGCATTTCATGATAAGCCTTGGAAATAAAGCCACTTTTCAAGCTGGTAGCACAGGTTTTTATGGCCAGAAATCCATCTCTGCCCTGTATAAAGTAGAATAAGGCAGAACAAACTATACAAACGGAATTTTCCTCTGTTGCCCGAAAGTATAGTTGAGCTTCTTTATCTGATTTATAATTGGATTCAACAGAACTTGAGATTGGTGATACAATTTAATCTCGATAAGATCAATAATGAAAAAAAAACAATAAAAAGAAACATATGTTACTCAAATTACCACGAAGGCATAGGCTCAAACCAGGACCAATTGTAACAGCAACAGCAGATAAATTCCTTGCTGTTAAATTGGCTTTATCAAGGGCTTCCTGTACAACCTGTCAAATAAAAAATTTACACACCCGCACAAACTCACATCCATTACAACATTAAAATCATGCGTTACACGAAAAAAAAAAAAAAAAAAACTAAATTGCCTAGGTATAGATGATACCTGATCAATAACTTGTGAGTGTGCTTCTTCTGCCATTTTAGGAGCAACACCACCATATTGTGCAAGCAAATCTCCCTTAATTAAAGTTAAAATTTAGAAAATAAGGTAATGTCATCATACATTAATAGCCCAAATACACTAATTCACAACTGATTTTTGTCAATTAAGTAAATCCACTAATTGGCAAAATACGGAAAACCCTATAAACAAATTAAACTAGCATCATATAAATACCTGAGAAGAAACAACTTGGCTTAGAATCTCACCATTGCCCCTCACCTAGAAAAAAGGCCAAAACCCACTTAAATTAGCACAAAACTAGAAACACTAAAAAGTTCAAGAAAGACCCAATTGACATACAACAGCAGCTGCAGTGTCATCACAGCTAGTTTCGATGCCAAGAACAACCAAATCGTCTTTAGAAACCACACTTTCGAATTGGGGTTTTAGGGAAGTTAAAATTTTTGAAGTGGAATGAGTGGATAGAGAATAGAGAGGTGACCATCTGGGGATTGTCTGTTGCGTTTTAAAGATTTTGAGAGAAGATGATAGAGAGTAAGTAAATGAGTATCTTGGGCCAGGTTTTAGGCGGGAAATCGTGGAAGGTAGAGAAGACAGCATTTTTTAAGAACCAGACACTGATGATGATGGCAGATGTACAGAAGCGAAGTGTAAAAGATTTATATCCTTTGTTCCGAAATTAAAAGGGTGTTGCGATATAATACAGGGGAATTCGCATTATTGGTATATTATCTTTTCATTTATTAACAATCTAGTACACCCAATTTAATTTTTTCAAATAAGTATTTTGTCTTTTCCAATTAGCAGAACCAACTACAGAATTGGCTGTTAGTAATGAATACCAATCAAGTTACCAACTTCAATTTTCTTGACTAAGTATATCCAATGGAATCAATAAAATAAAAAAATGATTTCTCGTTACATATTTATTTGGGGCGAATTTAACGTAAAGTATGATTTTTGCGATTGTAAAGTGAGAAAAAAAAACCTTGGTGGCACAATAATAATTTTATAAAAGATTCACAATGACCACTGTAATGAATTATATTTTCTTGCCTCAAAGCAGAAAATAATCAAATGATATATTTTTTTTCAAAAAGGAGAAAAATATTGATTTAAAATGGGTCTGTTTATAATTTTACATTCAAACAACGTTCAAAGTTATGATCGAACCAAATGGAAGGTCCAAATCGCAATATCAAATGCATCTTTCGTGATTGGTAATGCTATGGAATCCTACACGGTCAAATTATTTGACCAATAAAAAATTGTGCTGGTTAATGGACTTTTGGCTTATTACAATGGAGTATATATACTTTTAACTTTTTTCAAATAATTATTTCAACATTTGCAATTGAACTAATATAAAATTGGATTCTTGTTTTAAACGTTTCTTGGACTGGCCATTGAGTGATGATCTGGAAAAGGAATCCCACATGCTCAAAACATTTGATGGGTCGAAAATAGGTCCTATTTGTTTAGTCAAATTCGCTGCTACCCAAAACACACAAATGTTCACAACCAAAATCTTCCCCCAATTAGTTATCCCTTGCTTGTAATTGTTTGCTTTTGAATTCTTTTAAAAATCACCAAAAACGTCAAAATCTCTGATAATTTGCTAGTAGACTGCGATTGCTATATCACCAATAGTTTGCAGTATTCTCAACTTATTAGTGCTCTTTCTTTATTCTTCAAGCCAAAGTTATATATAGAAGATATTGAGTAAATTAATGCATTTTTTATGGAATGTGGAAGTTTATGTGTAGCTGGGGCTAAGGCAGCCTGGAAGGAGAGCCAATGTGAAGAGTACGGGAATGTACTTGCCTAAATATGTGTGTGTGTGTGGCTAGGAGGCCGTATCTGTGATGTTTGATTCTTATAAAGCAGGATTAGTATGAGTTGAATATGGATTTTTTTTCAAATTATTTTCATGTATTTTTTCCTCGTATAAAAGCTGCTGGCATCGGGAAAGAAATATAGTTAGCGAAACACATGATTCTATATATGTCCACAGCCAGAATGCTGCGCGCTCGCGCACACACAGAGATATATATATATAGCTGTATATGTGAAAACTCATCCTTGTCTTCTTATTCCTTTGGCAAACTAAGGCTATTACCAATTTGGGTTTTCACAATCTTGTCCTCTTTAGTGTTTATACAAATGCTACTCTCCTTGTGGGACAAGGAGCTGCCATGGACAGCAATCTCCAAGTTCCGCATTCCTCCAGCCGGCATGACAGTAATCAACATTGTTAGCGCATCTGCTTTCATCAGACTGCATGACAAGCTAATTCTTCCTTTCTTTATCAAATTAACAAAAAGAGAGCCTAAACCTCCTACTGAACTACAAAGAACAGGGATTGGGCTTGCAATTGGAAGAGTAGCCATCGTAATTGCAGGCTTTGTCGAGCAACAAAATCTAAAGTGTGCAAGTAATAATGATTAGGAGAAGAGTTCGTTACATATTTTGTGGCAAACTCCACAATATATGTTTGTGAGAGTGTCTGAAGCATTCGTATACGTGCACAAATGGAATTTTTGGCATCACAAACACCAGACGCATCGAAAGCCTAGGCATTTGTTTGTCCGTGTTTTCTTCAGCAATAGGCAGCCCTGTCTGCAAGCCTGATTTTGACCTTGGTGATGGAGATCACAACTAAGAATGAGCAGCCAGGTTGGGTTCCTCCTAATTTAATTCACGGTCACTTGGACAGATTCTTCTTTCTCGCTGCTGCTTTGATAGCCCTTGACCTTGACCTGGGACTGCATGTCGTATGTGCAAAGCGATACAAGTTTATATTCTTGGAGAAGCTAGATAGTAAATGAAGGTTATATATCGAACTATTGGAGCTTGGTTTCTGATACTTCTTGCACTCTCTGAATCTCGAAAAGATTTTGACTCTAATCTAAATGGTTGAGGAGTGAACAAGAAATAAACACACACTCAGCAATGCCTTAAGAATCCTGCCTTACTTCGGCCTTAAATGTCCGTCACAGCTGAGTTGCATCGGATAGAACACTTGACTGAAGCTCTCAAAGATGCCTAAAATTGTTGTGATTGTAGTACTGAAATCTTATCAATAACATACATGAAATTATGAGACAAATCAAGTAGTAAATTCCAAAAAATTTCAACTCCTAGCTAGCACCGTTATTTTGTAATAAAAACAACAATATTGAATCCTACCATCACATTTGACACTCAATTGAAGCGACAAAATGCAAGCTTTAAATCTCTTAAATACAAGAAGATGCTGGGAAGCAACATTGAACTCGAAAAAAATTATTCTTTTACTTTTAAGCAGGAGATGAGGTACATCAATATGCCTTGCGGGGAATACAAAATGATTGTGACCACAATTTTGTAGCAACCAAAGAACTAGAGTGACACGAGTGAGATATCTGACGTGAAGGTCATTGTTCAATAATTCCTACAGTGACGCCTCTGAACTGAAGGGTGAAAAAATGTAGATGTTGGAAATTTAGAATTGGGACCATTTGCCCAAACTTTATGGGTTGAACCAGGACTTATTAACAAATTGGCAGGTCTTGATAGGGAACTGTAACATCATTTTGAAATTTTTGCTGTCAGCTCCCTTACCAGCTTAGCAGCAACCATTGCAGTCATTCCATCAACAGTGTCACGCTGTGGATTGAATTCAACCACATCCGCTGCAACAACATCAGCTTGAAGGTTGTGGAGGATGTTCAGAACATCACGGAAAGAAAGACCACCAGGCTCAATATGAGATACACCAGGAGCAAAGGCAGGATCAAGGCAGTCCACATCTACTGAGATATAGACACCTTTTACACCTTCCCCTAGTTTCTGTCCAAGAACAGGCCATAAATAAAAACCTGTTAAGATCCCTAAACAAACTGATACACAATTACGCTGCATGTGTGTGTGTGTGTGACTGTAAGGGGTAGAGAGAGAGAGAGAGAGAGACCAGATTTTCCAATAGCTGCCGATCCCTTGAGAAGGTTCGCATTTCATATTGCTCTACTCCAAACCGTTTACCTTGCTCACGCCCTTCTTTTGTTATGGATCTGATACCCACCTAGAAGTCAGCATTCAAGCTCATCAATATGAAATTCAAGAAATTACCAGCTATCTTCACACATCAAAATCTTGGTTGCAAACAATAGATGCACTCGAAGCTTTTGAAACAATGAACTGAAAAGCATATCATTTCCCTCAACTTAAGAACCTCTGATATTCCAATAACCAGAAAATTTTGTACTACAATCACACTGTAAGGTCTAAAAGGATATCACCAATCTACACATTTTGGTTAGGATTTTTATACATATCTAAGTCAGTTCTAACATCTAACATAAATTACATAAAACGAGAAAGTTTTAATACCACAATTTGTAAGCAAGAATATATGCTAAATGAACCAAAAAATATCAGAGATACAGAAAAAGCATATTGAAAGATAAAACACATTACTTGCAAAAGCCGCCGAGCATAACCACCTTCCATAATTCGGGCAAACGAAGAAGCATGAGAATACTTATTTCCTTCAAAGCAATGATAGATGTCAGGATGGGCATCTAAATGAAGAATATCTACAGGTCCCCCAAGCTTCTCAGAGACAGCTCTGATCACAGGAAAAGATATGGAGTGGTCACCGCCTAAAATTAACGGGCGCAATGGTTCCTGAAAGAGCACATCAAACAAGTAGAAAACCATCAGTTTCTAAGCCTATGACATTCAATGAAAACTTCTTAAAATTCCTACCAAGAAAAAATTCGCACAGAATCACTGATACACTACAAATTAAGACAAAATAAATGCGTAAAACAAAAATTAACTCGTATTTTTAGACAGAAAATGGTAATAGAAAAATCAGCACTCACCTCTTCCATTACTAGCTTGACTGATTCACTAATAACATTCATCAGTCTATCATCATCTACACCACAATCTCGAATTTCTTGAACCGGAACATCACCAACATCAGTTAGCACCCGTGGATCATTTAATTCTTTCCCTGCACACAGCCAAACTTCATATCTCAGCAAATGCAAGCATTAACCAACATCATCAATCAATGCACAAAAACGTTCCAACATCGGAGCCTTCAAACAGGATCGTCATCGGTAGTTAGTTTGTTAAGCTCCAATAAGCATACTAATAAATAAATAAAAATAAAGATTATTCTGACTACCTTCTTCGGTGCTCGAATTCGTGCTGCCACACCAAATGGCCTCTCTAATACGCGGAGGAGCAAACGCCGGTCCTTGAAGAAACGACGAATTGTGTCCCAAAGGAACTCCAAGAAGCGTTGAAGATGCTTTAACACCTCCTAGCGCGCGCAAAAGCTCTCCCTGCGAGAATAAACCAATGTTAAAAATGCTAGTAACAATTAGTAATTTAATTGAAATTAAGATAATTATACCTTAAGCTTAGCGCGCTCGCGAATAAGCGTGAGAGAAGCATCGATAACGCGATTTTGGCCTTTTTCTAGCAATTCGGGAGGGATATTTGCAGCTTTAAGTTTTGACAAGTAATGAATTCCTCTCTTCCCTATTATTGACATATCTGCAAAAATAAATAAATAAATAAATAATCAACTGATTACTGATTCCATTAATAAATCATAATCTACATTCAAAGATAATGAACAAAAAGCTTGATTATCAATATTTACTAGCACGATGTTAATTACTTGAGTCGGTAAAAGAAAGAGAGAGGTGATGATTTTGGGTTACCTTACAGAGAAAGAGGAATTCCGATTGGATGAAGAGGTGGAGAGAGAGAGGAAACGGTGATTAGCGGAAGAATGAGTGAAGGAATTTTGGGAGTTGGCGCTAATTTAAAGAGAAATGGCCGTTTAGAATGCGACGCTGGAGTTTAGATAATGATGATTTCATTCAATTATTATTATTATTATTATTATTATTGAATAGGTAAAATGCGTGTCCGATCTTGGATTTATATAATATGGTTCAGAGTGGGTATTTCGTTTGCTTCAATGGTTCGGGTCCTCGTCGTTTTAAGAAGAAAAAATAGTTTATAACACGCAGTTTCTACACTGGAAAAACTATTATCCATGTTGGACTCACACTGCGCTAGAATGGGTATTTCCCTTATTGTTTTCCAAGTAACCAAACGATGGGCATTTTTTCTTTTTAAATTTTCTTGAAACTTAATTATTATTTTTTCAATTTATGAAATAAAATAACATTAAATTAAGAATGATTAATACTGATTAAATAAATATTAAGTTTAATATAATTTTGAAATAGAGAGATTAATTTTATAATTTACTCGATACGTATAGACATCTTTTTTAAAAAAAGATAATTTTTTTCCAATCAAGGGTAGATTTGTCCATTGAAATGAAAAACGGAGCGCTCCTATCAAAGGGGAGGTCGTGTAAAAAACAAAAGATGGAGAGAGGGTGATGACGTCTGTCGTCAAAATGGTGATTTGCCGAGTCACGAGGCAAATCGACGAATTAACAATCCCAATGTGGAAACTGACGTCCCATGCTTCCAGGTGTAGTTTGTCTCTTTTCGAGACTACCTGTTAAATTGCGCCGGTGCACACATTACGCATCCCTATGTGTTGCTGAAATCCTCCAGTACCGTACGTAAGACATGGAAAATTGAGCTATTGCTCTGACAGTAGTATCAAAACAGAAAACTGAAAAATGTCAGCTCCGCATCCAAAAGACATGGAAAATTGATCCATTTTGGATGGAGAAAGAGGGAATAGAGGAAAAACTGTGATGAAATGAACCAATACAAACGGAACCAGTGATGGATACGTATAATTGTTACTAATGGAATATAATTAGACGATTGTGGATTATTTTTTCTCGTTCAATTTATAAGATAAAAAAAATGTTATTTACGTGAATGCGCTATTTAAAAAAAAAAATTAAAACCCTAAGATATTTATTTGCATTTCTCCTTGTTTTGCCGAATCGAGTTTTATATGTGTGTAAGTAATATTAATTAAAAACATAAGATATTTATTTGTACTTTTTATTTATATCTATGTGATAATTAAAACCATTAGATATTTATTTACAGTTCTCTTGATCTCTGCATGTACCATAATATGACTAGAGTTTGAAATAGCTCGCTTTCCTCTCATATTTTATCAAATAAATAATAAATAATAAAAAAGAAGAAAGAAAATTATTTTTTCTTGTTTTACTGAAATTTAGTTGGACTAGCTATTAGTGTATTACTCAGGACTGAATTATTTCGGCATCGAGAGCCTGCCTTCTTCATGTAGCAGTGACATCCACATTCCTTGTGTTTCTAAAATATCACCTGCTCTAGCCCAATAGTACATGAAGGCTAGACCTAGACATCCACACCAAGCCCAACCCAATTACAGAAAAAAAAAAACCCTTTCCTTTTTTCTTTTTTTTCCCCAAATAAAATAGCTTCCTGACACGTGGTGAGAAGGCGACTGCTCTGTAGAAGCCATGGAATAATAACAGACTTTACTAGAAGAAACCAGTATAGAACCTCTTCTGCTCCACTTAAAAAGCCCACCAAAAAGATACACCAGAGTATATCATGCCACCACTACACCTGTCTTCAAGGTTCACTTCTATACCTCATCCTCTCATAAACCTCACCGCCACAAAAAGACCAATCTCCTCCACCGCAATCACCATGTCCCTCTCTTCTTCACCATCACCATCAATAGCGAACAACCCCAAAGAACACAAAGACACAGAAAAACTAATAGCCCAAGTCTTAAAATACCACAACCAAACCAAACACTTCTTTACTAACTATGCTAGAGGCCCTCGTGGTCTTGACTGGGCTAACCAGCCTAACCCATTTAGACGTTACATTTCTTCTCCACTTTTCTCCCTCCTTCACTTCCCCATTGAAAATAATCAAAATTCTGCTCCTTTGTATCATTCTCTTTTTAATTCACTTCCATCTCCATATCCCATTTCTAAAACCTCAATTTCTCAGTTGTTTTACGATTCTTTAGCTTTATCTGCTTGGAAAACTACTGGGTTTTCTACTTGGTCTCTCAGGGTAAATCCCAGTAGTGGCAATTTGCATCCGACAGAGGCTTATATTATTAGCCCAGCAATTGATTCATTTTGTGATTCTGCTTTTGTAGCACATTATGCACCAAAAGAGCATTCTTTAGAACTTAGAGCGAAAATTCCAGATACTTTTTTGCCTAGTTTTTTTCCGAGTGATGCGTTTTTGATTGGGTTTTCATCCATTTTTTGGCGGGAGGCGTGGAAATATGGAGAGAGGGCGTTTAGGTATTGCAATCATGATGTGGGTCATGCTATTGCTGCTATTTCAATTGCTGCAGCTGAGCTTGGTTGGGATGTGAAGTTGCTTGATGGGTTAGGGTTTAAGGAGTTAGAGAGGCTAATGGGGCTTGAAATTAATCAGGGGTTTCGAATCCCAGACAAGCCAATTAAAGGTAAGTTTCCTGAGATTGAATTTGAGCATCCAGATTGTGTGCTTGTTGTTTTTCCTAATGGTGTTAATGATTTTAATGTGAATTATAAGGAATTGAGCTCGGCAATAATGGAATTTGGGAATTTTGAGTGGATAGGGAAGCCAAATTCGCTTAGTAAAGAGCATATTTGTTGGGATGTAATTTATAGAACTGCAGAAGCTGTTAAAAAGCCCTTAAAGATATATGATAGGTTTTTGGTTGATAAATTTCAGAGCAGTGGGATTTGTAGTGAAGGGTCTTATAGGGGTTTTAGTGTTAGGGAAGTTGTTAGGAAGAGGAGGAGTGCAGTGGATATGGATGGAGTTACTAAAATGGAGAGAGATACATTTTATCAGATTATGTTGCATTGTCTTCCTTCTGGTCATGGAAGTGGAGAGAAGCAGAAGAGGCAATTAGCATTGCCATTTCGGGTGCTTTCATGGGATGCTGAGGTGCATTCAGTTTTGTTTGTGCATAGAGTGGTTGGGTTGCCGAAAGGGTTGTATTTCTTGGTGAGGAATGAAGATCATTTGGATGAGCTTAAGAAAGCCACAAGGGCTGAGTTTAAGTGGGAGAAACCAGAGGGATGTCCTGATGACTTGCCCTTGTATGAACTTGCAAGGGGTGATTGCCAGCAGATTGCCAAACAGCTTTCGTGCCATCAGGTGTGCCAGTACTTCACTTTTTTCATTACAAATTCTTAATATCTAATCTATAGATTGCTAGGAATGAAACTGAAATTGGGGTCAAGAAGTAATCCTAGTTTAGGAACATGAATTTTGAAAGGGCAACAAATTTAAATGTGCCTCATCGTGTTTGTCCTGGATTTGCAAAAGCACCTTGCTGGCTTGTGTTTCAATGGATAGAAGGATGAAAGTGGATCCCTTTGGATTTTGCCATTAAAAAATCCTTTGGATTTTGCCATTCAAAAATCAACTAATAGTTTCCCTAAACAGTCAAGAAATTGTTGTTGCTAATTCTCAGCAACTTGGCATCAAAACTACAGTAAAAAAGTGAATTATCATCAAAGCAAAGAACTTCAATAATTTTTCTCTGACATCACCGGCAAATAAATCTGTATACCTTGGAACAATTATGAGTTCTTAGTCACTTCTGCATTTTGATTTTCTGCTTCGAAGCTGAGATACCAAAATGAGAGGCTGTGTCCAGCAACAATTTCTCCCACTCTTGCTAAATTAGCACATTCCTTTCATGCAGGATATTGCTGGTGATGGGTGCTTCAGCCTTGGTATGGTGGCTCATCTTGAGCCTACTTTGTGCAGCAAGGGTGCTTGGATGTATCCCCGGTTGTTTTGGGAGACTGGAGTTCTTGGCCAGGTTTTGTACCTCGAAGCACATGCAGTCGGCATTTCTGCTACTGGGATTGGTTGTTTCTTTGATGATCCTGGTATGTTTCTTCTTTTTGCAGACTCCAATTCTATGGCACCATATTGAAGTGTTGTTAATTATGAATGGCTTTCATCTCAATTACATATCAAATTTCTTCAAGAATTTCTTCATATAGAAGCTCGTTTGAGTTTTACGGCTTGAAAGCCTTATTTAGTGGTGGCATCATTGCAGAGTGGCTGTTCTGTCAGTGATTCTCGATCAAAGATTTTTAAACCGTGATAACTTCATTATATTCATGGAACCATCACGGTAGCCTTTCTTGCATTTCATGTCCTGAAATTTTAAACTTGAAACTTCTCCTGTTGTTCTTCTGATACAGTGCATGAAATTCTTGGACTACGAGGATCAAACTTTCAGAGTCTGTATCATTTCACTGTTGGAGGCCCTGTTTTGGACAAGCGGATAATGAGCCTGCCAGCTTATCCTGGCCCGAGCGTCGATGCTTGATTGCACCATGTACCTTCTGTTAGCTTCCTGTAGTCATCAAGAGAAGTACATACACAGAACAGCTTTATATGGCAATAAATTTTGTATTATTAGGTTTATACTAGTCCCCAGGTTGATATTAACTTGGGGTGGGGGGAGGGAGAGAGGCCAAGGGTGTTCTGACCTCTGTAAACGGGTATTGCTCTGTGGTTGGCTTGATCAAGGTTGTTTATATGTTGTAAAGTGCAGTGCAGACTTTAATAGCGAGCTAAATAAATAATCTCTTTGATTGAGTCATAAATTAAACTTCGTGTGTAAATATATTGAATCGTTTGGGTTGGAAGGGAGCTTATATAGAATTGCTCCACATGAGTATCACTACGGGATTAGTATTTTTCGCACAGAAGGCAGGAAAGATAACGCAACACAAAACAGAAGGCGAATCTTAGATCTACCCTCGTCTATTCTAAGTCGGTATATTTCACAGTAACATTCACCTTTGACTTGTTTAGAAGTGTGAAAGGAGGCATTGAACTGTTAAGTGAATGCAATGCGAATTGATACATGCGTTTCCAAGAGACAAGGCATGGGTTTGAATTATTATGCAGAAACGATTTATCCGGCCAACTCTACATAAATGTAGCAAGAGGGTCCAGTAGATGGCTGGTCTGGGCATGCAGAACCAGCGTGCGAAGTTCCATTAAATGTAGCAAGATTTAGTAGTGCACAAGGGTCGGACTTCAGAGTCCTTTGAGCTACCATCTCAACCATAATTCTTTCTACAACCGAATTACAGAGCATAACAACATTGAGGCGATGGAACTCCCAATTTAATTTGCACCTAAAGTAACTTTCTTAGATTTGATTGACCAAGTTTTTGAATATTTCTGCAATGCTCATTTCCTATAAAACAAAACTATAGTGAATCACAGTGTACTTTCAAATGGAAAAATCATGTTATAGCAATCCTAGAGTGAAATAAGCACCCATCCTCTTAGTTACTTAGCCATAGGCATGAACATGATTTCTTTTAGAAACAAAGGCCCATCAAGTGGGGAAGCCTTTCCTTGCTATCCAGAAATCCTGAATGAAATCAGATCCCATTGAATCGAATCCTCCATGCTCAAAGCAACTTCCATAGCAGGAAGCGAAAGTAGTCAGATGTAAGTCAATGAATGAATGAAAGAAATTTCAAAAAGGAATCTGTATTTGCAGGTATAATATAAATTTATGTATATACAGAAGTCAGTAAGCCATTAATAAGAGGATCACATTGCTGGACACCATCTTCAGTTAATGAACTCAACATGCTTACTCTTGATGGAGGACAGACAAGGGATCCCATCAAATGTGCCTCATCCCAATCGCCATTGACCCTGCAGAGCTTTTCAACTTGCAAAATGCTAATCGCACAAGTGAATTCAAGTTCTGACTTATATGTACAACCACCTCATAATGCTTAGATGCAAAATACCAATAGCATCTGAAATGGCTGAGCATCACAAAAATAGGGAGAAGATGTCCTTTTCAAAATTGAACGGGTTACTGAAGCTCATAATGTTTTCAATTTCATATTTAAATGAATCCAAGAACAAACCAAGAGTAAGTCCAGCTTTCCAATAATTAAACATGCTGATAAGGCTCCGAATATTTTTGACCAAGGGAAAAGAAGCCCTATACATGAGTGCTCCAATCGCTTCCACAACCAACACAGCCAATGCAGCAGATAAAATGTCCCAATCGCCTGTCTGACCAATAACAGTAGCAAAGGCAGTTGCACAATAAAATCCCACCAAGAAAAAGAGTAATTTCATCGGAAGATTTTTCCTTATCTCCCGAATTCTTGCACCCAACCGGGTCTGGAGAGCTTGAATTGCCCTTACTAATCGTGTTCCACCACTAGTACCATTTGAGGAAGAAGGATCCAATCCACTACTATCTACGCTGCTCTTAATTCGCCAAGCCCTTGTGCTTAACAATTCAAAAAGAAATTATTAATAACATTTAGAGACAAATGTGAACAATATGGTCCTGATTACTCTATCTACACACCTCATAATACCAATGCGTTGTTGCAAAGAAACTACAGCAACTTTGCTAATGGTTATGCAATTCACATGGAACAATGAGTTCGCAACAAGTACTATGTTACAATTGGAGGATACTTTTTTGATTGCTCGTATGAGCAGAATCAATCATGGGGCGAGTCCATCAGTTAAATACCCTATCAATCAATACATTGCTCTGAGAAATCTACCAAAACAAGGCATGAACAAGACTGTGGAGTCCATTTATGACATCAACTTTTATTCTATCTCTAGCATTATCTCCATATAAGCTCATTAAACCACGTATAAATGACTCGTTACACATTGCACTAAGCGCCATATCCGAGCTGCAAAACAATGCTAATAATCAAGTTCGAAAACGACTGTTTCATGTACTTACCGAAAACTCTTGAACAAATAGGGTTCAGCCACATGGACAAAAGAACACTGAGAATATAATTTCCGGCCGAAAGCACACGCAGTTATCTGAAATCCTGCTGATTTCACACACTTCGTAGTCGAAGGCTTAGCTTTTGTCGGATAATTAGGCAATGTCATAGCGGTTGCCATTGCCGCAAAAATAAATATTGGAACCCAACAATGTAAACCTGCAAAAAACTATTTCAGGATCGCTGAGTCAGGCTGGTTCAGTACAACAACTCAGTCGACTCGGACAAGTCATTTGTTAATCCAAAATTAACTCCGTTGCAATACAGCACAGTCATTGAATTTTCTAAAATGCCTAATTAGATTGCTTAATTAATTAAGTATTAATGAGACAATGATAATTGCAAGTAATTAAAAACGAAAAGGAAGAAGAAGAAGAAGCAAGAAGAGAAACTTACCGTGAAAGAGAATTTGATTTGACTGTGGTGAAGAAGAGCAGTAAGATAGTGGTAGCTTTCTTCCTCCTTATCTTTCTTCTCCTATGGAACTGAAGGGAGGATTTGGGGTTTTGGATTCGAACTCTCAAGAGTCAAGATAGGAGGAATATATTCATTTTCTTTTGCTTTTGGTTTGTATATATTGTGAAAAAAAATAGCAATTAAAAGAATAATTTTGTTTTGAAGTATGTTTGTTTCGTTAGGTAACATGTATTTTTCTTTTTTAGAAAAAGATGTGACTTTGTTTTTACTGTTTGGTCCACTAATATGATGAAGCGGAATTATTGAATACTCTCAATATATTACTTCTTCATCCTCACGTGTTCATGAATGATTCACAGGTAAAAACAATATTTGGCACTACAGCTAGGGAACGTTGCAGTGGAATTAGTGAATAATTGGTAACCAATTAAAAGGCTTAGACTATCATAAAATGTCAAATAAGAAACAAAAAGAAGAAAAATACAAACGATATTTTTGTACTTAATTTTAACTCATACAGTAATTCAGTTTTCGAACAAAATAAATTGATTTTTCTTTGCCAAGTCAAAACACGAAAATATGTACAGTTAAAGACATGAATCTAAACTATGAAGTTTATCGTGTGTGTGTGTTAAAGAAAAAACTATGATTTTGTTTTGTGATAAAGTATTGCAACTATTTGGAGCAAATTATAAATTTGTTTTTTCGTTTTTCTAAAAGAATTAAATAAGTCCTCTTGTTTAAAAAACTAATTAATTTATTTATTAACTAGTGTTAACTATAATTAATTTAATATCACTTACTTTTTAAAAAAATATATATCTTTTTTTATCATCAATCTTTCCTTATCATTTACTTCTTATTTTTAATTTTCTATTTTTTAAAATAAAAATAAAAATAAATTAAAAAATAATATGAAATGAACAAAAGTGTCTACTTAGCAAGTTCTTAAAATAAAAAAGACCATTTGATTTTTATTTTTATTTTTTTAAAGGATCGATTTATAATTAACTCTCACGGTTTGACTCTCTAAAACGAAAGGAATGGAGGAAATAAACACATTGCATTTATAGCCCATTAGACGGAAGAAAAAAAAAACTAAAAGATTGAATGTTCTTACTTGTTCATTTATTGTAGATGAAGGCTTACGGATATCGTGTCTGTTGTGACTCGATTATACTGTGCTCATTCCTTGCTTTCATCCTAATCGTCCAACTTTGGTTGTTATTTCTTTAGCTTATGTTGTGGTTTTATTGTAGAAATCCATTTTGCGTCTTCACCTTTTATGCACTCTTCTCTCTTTATTTCTTTTTTTTTTTGTTTTTTTGGCTACATAGTGAGTTAGTTGTTTTTCATCCTTTTTATTTGGACTTAATTTCTCTTTTGCATTTCTTTCTTTTGTTCGGTTACATTTTCCTCGCTTTCTTCATTTTCTTTGTTTAGAACTCATCGAGTCCCTTTTTTGTCATTGCACTATTCCTTTTACATAACATCTAACGTTGCCATCAAGCGGTTTGTACGATTTCTTTTACTTTTATTTCTTTCTTTTTACAATTATTTTCACTTCACTCTTCTCTTTCACACGAGCATCTCTTTATCGTCATTTTTCGAGTTCCTTCAATCGGGTTTGTTTCAATTCCGACCGGATCGATTCTTCATTTTCGTAGTCGTTGTCTATTGCGTCGTTGCTTCTTGGGGATTGTTGTTGCTCGAGAGGCCGGCCCGTGATTGTTTTTTCACTATAAATTATGCAAATTCAAGTTTATTGCTACCATTTCCTGTACTCTCTCAATTGATTTTGGTAATTTTTTATTTTTTTTTACAATTAGATAAGTTTTTTTTTGCCTTTTGATACTTGCTCATTATGCATATTTCATCTCTCTCTCCTTTGAACTTTCTTTCACTAATAGGTTAATTGAAATTATTATTTTTCTTTACTTCATAAGTGATGTTTTTTAATTTTTTTTCCCTTTGATTGTCATAGTTAGTTTTAGTTTTGCCTTTCTTTGTAATGAATTTTGCTAATTTTTTAATCTTTTTTTCTAACCAATGTTTTTTATTTAGGTTTAGCCCATAATTGGTTCTTACACGGTTCTAATTTTTTTAAGTGAAACCTTCTAATACTTTTTAGTTTGATTGAAACTTTCTACTTTTACAAATTTGTTTATTGAGACCATTTGTTAATTGTAAATCCTATATGACACTTAAAAAAATAATGGTAACCAACCGGAGACTAACATGTAGACATGTGGATCCTAATTGTGAGATTATAATTTTGAAAACCAAAACTTATAAATTTGAGAAAAAGTTTTAAAATTTTAAAACAAGAAATTGTTATTTTACAAAAATAAAAATAAAATGATAAAAATACTCCCAACGTATTATTTTACACCCAACTCGTTATCTTCTTCATTGTTACTTTGTATCAAAATCCCTAAACTCATGACTTTCCCTTATTCTCCAGTTATATAGAAAAGTCTATCCTAATTCTCTCATTTTCTTTGTAAATTTCAACTCTTATCTTCTCCTCCATTGTTCGACAATCCCAATTGCCTCGATTCTCTCATTTCAATTGTTTCAAAATCCTTAAATCTCATATCCTCAATTTTTGAAATCCCTAAATTGAAACTTTCGTTCGTCTTTTGTAGCGTCTCACGATCCAAGAAGACATGACAATTTCATCCATGTTGTCTTCATCGTCTAAACATTCGGATGTATCACAAATGTTAATATTTATACTTGATGATCAAGAATTACGATCAATTGATGAAGGACCATTGATTATATGTTTCTATTAGATGAAAATAGTGAAGGTATTGTCTTAGGGTTGAGAAAGAAAAAGATAAAACAAACGAAAATAAGGTGAAACAAAGAAGATGAAAGAAATCTTGTCGGGAAGGAAGACGAAGAGGAGAAGAATTTCAAACGAAGGAATTTCAAACAATCTTGTCGACAAGGAAGACAAAAAGAAGAAGAATTACAAACGATGGTATGTGTTGATTAATCTAATGCTCGTTCATTTCGTTTATTCATTTACTTGTAGGATTAAATGGGTTGGGTTAATTAGGTTTTTTTATTTTTTTATTTAACTCTTTTTTTAATTTACAAAATTATTTAAAACTTTTTCATTTTCGTTTTGATTTATACTCGACATGATAAGGGGCTACATTATCACATGTTGTTGTGTGATTAGTCACCGTTAGTTTTAACTTGCCACGTAAAATGAACAATTAACGATATCATAATGGAGGGTCTCGATCAACAAATTTGCAAGAGTAGAAGGTTTTAATCAAGTTGAAAAGTATTAAAGGGTCTCAATCAAAAAAATTAAAAGCGTGCAAAGACCAATTATGGGGTAAACCCTTTTTTATTTATGTGCTTAGACTATTGACAAATACCGGTAATAATGGGTTTTGTTGTTATTTTGCAAAGAAAAAAAAATGTGAGTTTTTTTTAAAAGTCCATTTTGTTATTTTTTTTTCGGTGTTTCTTATTTATATGTTTAGGTTATTTGCTTGGATAACATTGAGTTTTGTTATGATTTGACAAAAATATGTGAGTTTTTTTTTTCATGTCCTTTCCCTTATTTTTTTTCTCTTTTTAGGTTTATGGTCAAGGCAAATTTATAGGTAGCTTGCCAATTTTATTCATTTTTTCGTTATTGCCTTCGATGACATAGAATCAATAAAAAGGCTTTACTATTTTGAGGAAGATTTTATCATTTTGAGGTTGTTGGATATTTTATTCTTGATCGATGTTTTTTTTTTTAATCACCGGCTTCGATATTGGTATAGTTGATATTCTTTCTTAGGTTAGTTTCTTTCTTTTATTTGTTTTTAGATTTGTTGGATTAAATTTACAATTTTGACCTTATGTTGTTTTTTTTTTTTTGATTGAAGAATCAAACTTTAGAGGTCGAACTTTGGCTCGAGGTCCGTATTTAATTTTGTTTTTCCGTTGAATAATTTTTTAACTATTTGGGTGCATTTTTTTGTTTCTTTGCTTTATGCGGTGCTATATTTATTTTTCTTCAACAATGTGATGTTTTTTTTTTTTTTAAGTTTTCGTTTTTTCCTCCGATGTTATTTTCCTTATAGCAACTCTATCTCGCTTGTTTGCTTGTTTTACTTGGCTATTGATGATTTTTTTTTATGTTCTAGCAACTCGCTTGGTATCCTCTTTTACTTGTTGAATGCATGTATTTACACTGCTATATGTTGTTTTGATCATATGTTATATGGAACTTTTTATTCGACTATTGTAATTTCTTTTTTATCTTCTTTCTTATTTATTTTAAGTTCTTCTACCTTTTGTTTGTAAAATTATTCATACTTGATGAATGTTATTTGTTGAGATATTTTACAATCTGTTATATTTTTGCTTTTTATTTTAATGTCTTTAATTATAGTAGTTAGTGCTTGTTATGCATGTGCTTTTAGCATTTTGCCCAAAGCCATACATATCATGACCTCCAATACGTTGTATCTTATCTTTTTATCGCTCTCACTCTATTCTATATACGTTTTTTTTTTTTTGTCATAAAAATTCTTATTTTGCTTTTAGTTATCTATTTTATAGTTTCATAGGTTTTATCCAACTCCAACTTATTCTCTATCAAATTGTACCAACCACATTACTCTTTTGACAAGTTTCCTTTTTTGCTCGAAAAAGTTTGCTTATACATGTTATTAAAAACTTCAAGTT